TGTGTTCATAGGCAGTTTGATGGCTTTTCTATTACTTCATTGTTCATGTGTCTTAGCCTATTGAGCAAAAAATTTTGCTTGTATTTTAACCTCCATATTAGCTACCATATATAAAATTCTTAAGCTCTGATGTGGTCAAATGAGTCAACATTAATGGTTTCTATAATCCATGTCATCATAGCTTTTTGTGTCACTAAATCATACCCAGATTTTCCTTAATCTTCCAGGTCTTGAAAGCTTGATTGTGTGCACCCACAGATCTCTAATCTAGCTCAGAGTTACTTTGGAGTATGATTTAAGGTAGAATCCAAACTATTGTATATTTTTTTCAAAGTGGATAGCAGATTGCCCCAATTTTTTGACATCCTTCCTTGCTGATTTAAAATAGCATTTGAATCAGTTTATAAACACATAGATATGGTGCAGGGCTGTTTCAGTGCTTTGCCTCTTCCTTAACGAATAACTCCAGGTGGTATACTTCTGCTACATTTGGGTCAATTCAACCTTTTTTTTTTTTTAAGGCTGCTTTTGTTTTCAGTTGAATTTTGCAGATCTTTTTATGGTTCACAAAAATACTACTGGATAATATGGTGCTAATTTCCTATGGCTGCCATAACAAATCACCAAAACTGTGGTAACTTATAACAATAGAAATGTGTTTTCTCACAATTCTACAGGCTAGAAACCTGAAATCTGGCAAAGCCATGCTCCCTCTGGGCACTTTAACGAGTGTTATGGATTAAGAACTGGTGGTCAATTTAACGCCAGCTGTATTACATCAGCATGGTAGTGAGTGAAGATGCTTCACCTGAGGAAAGTTGCCAGGATAAATAGGTGGAGAAGAAGGGAGATGTTGAGGGTTGAGGTGTTAAGGAAGCATTGTGGGTTCTCCTACAAGTTGCTGTCTGAGCTGTTGGTTCTCCTGGAGAAGCTTTGGTCCTCACATCGAGCATTGCTTCCTGGCTCCAGAGGGGAAGACGTGCTGTTTGGTCTCCAGGATGAACTTGTCACGCTACTTCCTGGCACATACCCGACTGTGCTTGTCGTCGGAGGAGCGTGGGGCCTCCATGTCGCTGAGGACAGCTGTGGTGCCTTTCAGGATAGCCCTGGTCTTTGTTGTGAGTGTGGCTTCTTGCCTCCAGCGTAGAACCCTCATCCCACTAACATAGCTCCTTCATCCTGCTGACATAGACTTTCTGGCTTCCACCGCTGACCCTCCCAGCACGGATCCATAAAAGAGACTGGTGTGAGTCCTTCTTGTGGGCTCTGGAACTCCAGTTGGACTCGGAGGCATTGTCTTGAGCTTTGTGTTTTTATCTGGACTCATGTGGAACATTGCTGTGGGGTTTAGGCTCTTGACTAAATAATCTATGTCTTTGGTGTTGCAGATAGATTTCCTGCATTTTCCTGTGTTAACTTCCGGTGACCATTATAAAAATATTATAAACTCCATGTCCTAATCCTAGTTGTTCTCTGTGTACAACCCCTGACTACAACAGGGAGAAAAATTGTTCTTTGCCTCTACCAGCTGCCCCACATTCCTTAGTCTGTCACCCCCACCAGCCTACCTCTGCATAGCTTTCTCCTGTGTGCCATGCTAGTCTTCACTCTGTCGTCTTCTCTGTGGTATCACTTATGTGATAACATTAGAACCCACCAGAATAACACATGCTATTCTCTTTATCTCAGGATATTTGTCTTAATCATTATCTGAAAGGATTCTTTTTCCAAAGGTATTTGTAAGTTTCAGAAAGTTAAATCTGGGGTCTCTGAGTATCATTGTGCAGCCCAGCACCAGTATTATTTGGGGTTTCGTTAAATATATAGATGAACTTGATGGAGATCCAGCATCTTTGGAGATAAAATCTCCTGGTCTGAAACTTGGCATCCTCTGCATGGTTTGTACAGGCATTCTTGTAAGCAGGCACATGCACTCATGTATGTATAAAACTTGTGTTTTGCTGACATGCTGAAATTGCCTTTCCATGCTCCTACGGTTTTGTTAAGGTTGAGGGGTCTTCTTGCTTAATGGTGGTATTTGTCTTAATTGTCTCCTTAGATTGCATAGTTGACAATCTTTGATGGTAGTAACATCTTTTGTCATTTTAATATAATTTCAGATTTTCACTAAGTATGTTGCTTTGTTTATATGGCCATTTCCTGATGTTAAACTGCATAGGAAAAAAGACTATTGGCTAAGTTTCATCATTCTTTTGAGTATTTTAAAATGACAATCTCTCAGTCATGTATGTGTATTTGTCCTCCTTGAGCTGCAAGTTTCCATTTCCCGGTATGAAATAATTACTGCGTACCTAGAACAGACCCTATGAATATGGTGTCTTATTTTCTAAGTTTTGTGACTTATTGGGCTAGTGTTTTGTATAAAATTCTACATCTTGGTAAAATAGTTTGTACTCAGTAATCTTTGTAGCATCCATTCATTGTTTTGGAGATACAAAAGAGTGCTACTGTTTTTCTCTGGGGAACCCTCTTTTCTACCACGTACAGTCCCTGTGTTGTGGATAGGCTGCTTCATCTAGCTGAACAGGTGAGTGCTAGTTGGCTGTGCCTTTGATGCAGTGTTTCCCCTTGGCCCCCTGACTACAGTTGTTGATCCCTTAATGAGCTCAGAACCCAATTACTGCTAGGGAGATACAAAAATAATTTGTGAGCCCCTGTGGGACAAAGAAAGTCATACTTCTTGGGAGCTAGCAGAAGATATAATTATTGTCATTTGTAACACTGTCTTTGTTTCAGGACCAGGAAAACAGTAGTCTGTGTCATTGTGTTTGTGTATATTCTTTGTCAAACTAAAGCTTTAATTGCTTTTTTCAGAGAAAACTGATTTTGGTTTTGATTGACCAAGTCAACTGTATTTCACCAGTTCATTGGTGGTGCAAATGGATCTAGTCTCTTTTATTGGTCCTTTTACTAATAAAATTAATAAAAAGCTGCCTAATGGGACAGTCATGCATACACCACCAGTAGTCCAAAGCACTTGGCAGTGAAACATAAGAATTACGGCCCTGTCGTGTGTTCGTTTTTCTTACCTTGAATGCTTAGTTCATTTATCCTTATTCTTCCCTGTAATAAAACTTACAAGTTTGGTTCCCCCTGAGACTACTGCTTGAGCAATGTCCTGTAGATGTTGATAAAGTGCTTTCTGCTCCTTTTTTTTCTAAAATCTTTTTGTTAGGAAAATTTTGAAACATACCAAAAACAGAAGAGAATAATATTTCAAATGTTTGTTACCTGGTTTTAACAATTATTAATGTTTTACAGTTTTGTTTTATGTATCCCTACGCAGTCCTCAAATTTATTTTTTTTTAAAGTATTTTAAAACAAATTTCAGGTTTTGTTTTCTCTAAAGAGTTTGCATCCTCAATAGATACAAGCTTTAGAAAAAATCACCACCACCAGGGATTTAGCTCAGTGGCATAAGTGCCTGCCTGGCAAGTGCAAGGTAGTTCAATCCCGGGTATCAAAAAACAAAAATTACCACTACAATACTGTTACTGTTTATAACAAAATTGACTATCATTTTAATATTCATTCTGTATGGTTTTATCCAAATGTTACAAAATGTATTTTTATATTTGCTTTGTGTGAAAATCCAAAGGAGGTGTCCACATTGCATTTGGTTTGAATCTTACAAGTTTCTTTGAAAATCTTTAACAAATCTTCTCCTTCTTTTTAAGTTTTGTCTTTAGTGTCATTTATTTATGAAAACATTCTGGATTTGGTTGAGTTGTGGTACTCTTTGGCATGGCTCTCTAATGTCTTACTCCCTATGAATTAACAGGTAGATCTAGACATTATTGATTTCAGAGGCAGAGAGCACACACAGAGTGTTTGACAGATGGGGCTGAGTATCTCACACTGTGATTCACAAGGATATGATACCTGCTGTTAGAATGGGTCAGTGAGTACAGTGTCAACATCTGATTCCATCCTTTATAGAGTTTAATGTTGAGCAATTATCTGAGTGTTTTTTTGTTTTGCTTTGCTTTGCAGGGTAGGGAATCAGACTTGTGGCCTCATGCATTCACGTGTTCTAGGCAAGGCCAACTGCTAATGTTACATCCCAGCCCTACTGACAGTCATTTTGCTTGTATCATGTCAGCAGTATATTAAGTTTCCTATTGCAGCTATTCAGGTGTGTTGCTGTCACAGTGTCACCAGGACTGGTCGCTTCTAGATATTCTAAGGAATATCTTTGTTCTCACCCTTTATAATTAATGAAGTCCATTATGTCATTTATGGCCCCTACTTCCATCTTTTTTTTTATTCCTACTTCCATCTTTAAATCACATGAGCTAAGGGACACAAAGGACATTTGTGACTACCTTTAAGGACCCACCTGATTAAGTTCAAGATAATCTACCCATCTCAAGATTTTTAATTCATCTAACATTTGCAAGTTGTAGGAATTAGGATTTGAATACTTTGGGAGCCACTGTTCAGTTTACAGTTGGCAATTACAGGGTGCAGCTTTTTCTACTTCTATTTCTACATTTATTAGTTGATGTTCATATATAAAGAGGGTTTCCCTTGTTAATTTTGGTTTTCGTAGAATGTGATTCCTACTAGAGGGAAAGGAGAAAAAATGATTTCTTTCTCAATGTTTAGAATACATTGGGACTAGCAACATTTTAAAGGTGAAATGTGTTTTTGTAGTTCTCTCCCCTTACCCATGCATGCTAGAATTATAATAAGCATATTGGTATGTATATAATTGTATTTCAACCCATTGAATCTGTTTTAGGGGGCTTATGTTCCCAGGTTGACTTCCCTATTCCTTTATCTGGGACTGCTTTTTTTCATCACAGCAGACCTGTCCTGTTCATATCTCAGGCCTGGAGCTGGCTATGTCCCCAGGAACCTCTGGGAGTGGCAGTGGCCACCACAGTCTGTGCTCAGGGGTATCGTGGACCATTGTGCTGCTTCCCATGAAGATAATTTTCAGGATACCCCTCACCTTTAAGGGAAAACAATAATAATCATGTATATATTTTTATTTGAATTATAATTTACAAGCCAGGGATTTAGCTCAGTGGTATAAGCGCCTGTCTGGCAAGTGTGACATCGTGAGTTCGATCCCCTGTACCAACAAAAAGAATGAATTATAATTTACAGGTATTTTACTTCAGTAGATATATTTCTCATACTGAAAATCTTCGTTTTTCATCATATAATCTTGATTATAAAGTCATTTTAGAGTACAAACAATATGAGGAAAAGTATGCAGATGTTTAGTGTGTGGAATTCAATGAGTTTTCACCTCCTGAACCTACCTATATAACTTAACATCAAAATAAGGAAGCAGGCATATTTTATCTTCAGTATTTATTTCTAGGGTTTGTTTTTCTCCAATTTACTTGGTTCTCCATGCAAAGCTATGAATCATGTATGAATGAGCATGGCTTCCCTTCTCATACCTTCCCTGTTTTTCCTTCTTTCTATTGATCCTTTTTGAAAATATAAACACTTTGCATTTTTGACTCTCATAGAGGGTGACATAATCTGCACTGCTTTTCTCTGAACTGCCATGTAGACCACACCCAGTAGTGTGAATTCTTCCCTGGTTCGCCTATTATGGAGCATGGTTTATTTAGCTATTCCTTCTGGACTTATTAGTTCTATTATTCTCTGCTCTCACCCTCCTCCCTCCTTGAGCTAGATAGCTTTATCAAATGATCTCTGGCACTCTCACCCTTCCTAGTGCCTGGGGTCCACCTGAGGGTTTTTTGTAGGGTATGCCTGCCTCCTATTATGCTGATTTCGTCTGCTGAGGTCATGCTTCCCTTCTTGGCTCCCTTTGGAGCCTCCTAGAAGTGCCAGTGTCATCTTTGGGTTGTTTGTTTATTTTTCTTTTTTTGAGACAGGGTCTCACTGTGTAGTTCAGGCTGGCCTGAACTTGTTTTGCAGCCCAGGATGGCCTCAAACTCACAGCAGTCCTCCTGCCTCAGTCTCAAGTGCTGGGACTACAGGCATCTTACCTTCTTTGTGTGGTTCTGGTTTTTCTCATAGTAGGAGTTGCAGTGTGTTCTTGATTCACCTATCTTTCTCACTAGGCAGATGAAACTTCCAAGTTCTGTTTCCCAGTTGTATATTAGTTTTTCTTTTACATGGTGTTCTAATCTATATTTCAACTGTCTTAATTTGGGATGGAGACAAGTGCCCCTGCTCTGGTCTGGATATTGCATGTATATGTGCAGCTCAATGTTGAATGAGTGCTTTGTGGAAACAGTGTAACATGAAGAGTTTCCAGGAAGTCCTTAAATCCAGAAGGACTCCAAGGTAGTAAGAGTGAACTGCACTCTATGAAGTAGACCCACAGGAAGACAGTTCTAGAAGAGATGAGGCAGCTCCTTTAGCTCACCTTATTTACAAGGGAATAGTCTGAGGAAGTAGGTGAGATGCCCAGCTGGCACTCTCAGTGCTGTATGCGTGATATCCTGGAGAGGAGAGAACACAGACACTCAGCTGTGTGGCATTTATGTCCTCCTTTTTAGAAGACCATTACATAGCTATTTGGATGGGACTAGTCCCAAGATAAACCCATGGCCTGAACTAGCTTTGTATCCATAACAAATCTTTTTTTTTAATAAACATGAGCTAAGCTAAATCTAGCTCATAGAACCTTGTAGGAAGAAAATGTAAATTCTGAGAATCAAAAAAAAATCTTTTGAGTATACATTATTGCCCTTGGCCAAACTTCATGTTATTTTGTTTCTGGTAGTTCAGTGAGACTTATAGTAGGAAGATTAAAGGTACTTATTTGGTTGTAGACCAGAGGGAAAGCTCTCCCTGTAGCTCTTTCATCCCTAACCTGCCCTATCCCTCACCCAGAAACTACGTTTGTGGCAGTTAGGGTAGAGTATCAGTGTGACTGACTTGAGATTTCCCAAAAGATTGGCAGAGCTCACCTTTGGGGATGTTTGGGTGGGTCATAAAGGCACGGCTTGGGTCTATGTCTGGCATCTTGCACTTCCCACAGTGGCACTGTTCCCCTGCTCTGGTTATCATGAACTAAGTAAGCAGCTTCACTCCACCATGCTCTTCGCCATGATGTTACTGCCTTAGAGTCAGCTGACCATGGAGTGAATCACTTTAAAACATGAGCCAAAGCAAACCTCTTCTCTAAGTTTTGGGTGTTGGGTACTGTGTCCATCAATGGGAAAACTAATGCACCATGATAGTTGATGGGGTAGGGCTTCTCTGAGCCCCAGGTTCATGGTGAACAGTTCAAGATGTTTCCCATGACATTCGTAGCTTGTAATGACCTGGATGCTTCACACCCTGAAGCAGTGGTTAGTTTAAATCAATCTGAGGACTTCATGGTGAAGGAGCCCCTGAGATGACATGTAAGGCAGGTGCCTTTGTCGCTTTCTTGTCACTGGGACATGGTACCACATACCCACAACATAAAGGAGGAGAGGTTTATTTTGGCTCATGATTTCTAGAGGGTTTGGTCCATAGTCTGCTTCTTTCAGAGCAAAAATAACATGAGGGAGAGACCCTGGACAGAGGTGATCACAGTGCAGCCCCCCTCAGGTGGGCAGCAGCTCTGCTCACTGGTTCCTGGGGTACGAGTGCAGGAAAACAGTCCACTCTGGGGGCTTCTCTGTGCCAAGGTGAAGTATATCTCAGCAGGCCACTCTTGTTCCTGGGAATGGCATTTTAGCCGGACAGAGAAGCCCCTCACTGCTCTCCAGCTTCTCAGTGACAGCTCTGCCTGGCACCCTCCCACTGCCCATGCATGGTTCAAGGGTTAGAGTCAAGTCACATCCTTCTGTGGTCTCCAGTCTCTTACCAACAATTGAAGGCAAAACTAAGTTCTTGCTGAGCACATCTCTGGTGAGCACCAGAGCAAAGACAAGCAAAGACCACCTCTCCCTGATATAGTACTGATTCTACCAAAGCACCCCTTCTCCTAACGGTGAACTGTATACCAGCTGTATTTCTATGCCCATTCAAATACTTTCTCAGTGGGCAGCATGTGAGTATTACATTTTCTGTGTGCTGTCTTCTCAAGCCCGAGGCCCACTCCCCACCCTTACAAGCTGCTGGTTTGGTGTTGCTCAGAACATGGCTCTGTACTCCTTACTCTTCTCTCTATTCCTCATGACTACAGTGTGCTTCCAGATGTCAAGATCTACAAGCACACATCTGTCTCTGACACAGCTGGTGGTGATGGGTCCACAAACCCAGAGCTGCCTCTTTCTTGGTGAATGGCACTGGTATAGGAATGTTCTATTACCTGATCTATAGTGGAGGCTGACTGTCTTAGTTACTTTTTACTCGTTGCTGAGACAAAATACCTGAAGCCCAAGTTGGGAAAAGAAAGGTTTATTTCTTACAGTTTTTGGAGGTTTCAGTCCACACTCAGTTGGCTTCAAGGCAGGCGGGTATGCGTGGGCCACAGTTCATGGCGGCTGCAAACAGCAAGCAGAAACCAGCAAAGAACAACACACACCTTCTTCCTGCCAGTACATCACATCCTGGCTCCACCCCTATGTGGGTGGAGCACTGACACCATCTCCAAGCACTAGACCATGAACCATCACAAATGCACAATGCAAACTCATGAGGCCTGGGGGCCACAGACATAAACCATGACACCGACATTTACTCACTTGCTTAGCATCTGATAGGTAAGCTGAATCCTCAGGGCTCCCACCTGAAATGGATTTGCAAGTTAGGGTCTGCTTATTCCTATTTGAAAAAAAAAAATTCTTTTCATAGTGCTGAGGATTGAACCCAGGTTTTCTGGCACAGTAGGCAAGCACTCTACCACTGAGCTGTAACCCCAGCCAGGGTTTGTTCTTACATGAAACAAACTTACAGTATGTCTTGGGGTTTTCAGTATTCCTTTAAGTGGATCAAAAATTGAGAAACACAGCCAAGTGGGATGGTACAGTACCTTTAATCCCAACACTCGGGAAACTGATGCAAGAGAGAGCTGAGAGTTTAAGACCACACAGCAAGACCCTGTCTCTGCTCCCCTCCACACAAAACAAAACTGAAGAAACTTACAATTAGAATGTAGAATTCTTTGAGATCTTAAAATTTTTCTTCCTAAGTCACATAAGATTTAAAATTCTTTCTGAAGGTTTCCAATATTCAGAAACGTTTCACTCCTGTTCCACTAGTTGGCAGTAGTTTTACTGTGTATTTGTGTGTGTGCGTGTGGTGCTGGGGTTGAACCTTTTTCTGGGGAGACGCACTGTACTACTGAGCTACTTGGTTCCCTTTAAGTGGCAGGTATATTTGTGCCTGAAAGATGACATATAATTTATGACATATTTTTTATTTACTGTTTTATCTTTTTGAGACATAATCTTGCTATGCATTTAAGGCTGACCTTGAGCTCATTTGTAACCCAGGCTGATGTCACATTCTCAAGGATCCTCCTGCCTCAGCCTCCTGAGTGCTGGGATTACAGGAATACCGACCATGCCTGCCTGGTTGCATTTTTTAATATACAGGTTGTTTCCTGCATTTCTGTGAAAGCCCATTTATATCTTCTGCTCATTTTTTTCATGGATTCTCAGAGTCTTTGGAAGAAACACTCTAAGCTCAACTTGTTCATCTCTTCTCCAGGAATCTTGTGCCCCAAGTGTGAGGAAGAGGTGATACTTCCACAAGTGAAAAAGAAACCATTTTATAGTCTTCCTCTAGCGGAAATCTACTTGTTACAAACAGAAGAAAGCAGGGCTGGGGATTTAGTCAGCGGCATAAGCACCTGCCTTGCAAGCAGGCAGTCATGAGTTCGATCCCCAGTACCGATAAAAAGGAAAAGGACAAAAAAAAAAAAAAAACCAGAAGAAAGCTTACTATTAAGGGGGAGAATCCCCATCAGATGTGTTTCTGCCTTGGTTTGAAAGTGTAATCTATAGCATTGCTGCTTGATAAAAATATAATATGAGCCACATTATTTAGAATTTTAGTATCTACCTTAAAATATCAAAAGAAGCAAGTTACATTATTGATATATTTTGTTTCACAAAGTGTATCCAAATGTCAATTTCTAATCAACATAAAAATCCTTAAGATGTCTTATGTTGCAGTTTTTGTATTGGGTCATTAAACTTGACAGGTATTTAGACTTCAGCACAGCAGCTTAAACTTGCCACCTCTGAAGATTGGTAACCATATGTGGCACGCACATACTGAAAAATGCTATGTTCCATTCCTATGGAAATCTTTTTTTTTTTTTTTTTTGGTTACCCCATCTCTTTTTTTAAAAACAAAATAATTGCTGGGCACTGTGGTGCAAGTCTGTAATTCCAGGACTTGCATTAGGAGAGTGAGGCAGGAGGATCTCTGTAAGTTTAAGGCCAACCTGGACTATATAGGAATATCCTGTCTCAAAAGAAAACAGTAACAAAAAAGATATACTCATCTGACAGCTTCTTGAATAGGCTTTATGTGAATGGTGTATTCTTTATTTGGCTACATAAATAGGTGCTAGTTATTTCACTATTCATAGGATTAATGTTGTAGAGTGCTGCATTCATTGAATTCAGTTAGTGGACTTAAATGCTAGCATTCCTGAACAACAGACTATCCACTGTAGGTTGCATTCCTTCGGGTGTTGCTGTGACTCATGAGAAAAGCCAACGAGGTGTGCAGAAGGGAGATATATACTTGGAGAGTTTCAGCACCTGGTGAGGGTAACCCAAAGTATATCTGAGCAAGATGCTGAACTCAGTCTGCTGACAGACTGGATGCCCCTTGTGCAGTCTAGGGGTGTCCCCAATGACTGAGCTAAAACATAGGTCATATATTTTCACATTACCTAGAAGTGCGGCCCCTAAAATATAGGCCAGAGTCAGTGCCATTGAAGAAAATTTTTCTTTTCACTGAAGACAGTGAAAAGGGTAGTACACATCTGTTATCCCAATACTCTGGGAGGCTGAAGCTGAGGTAGAAGGAACACAAATTCAAGCCCAGCCTGGGCAACTGAGAAAGTTAGTGAGACCTTGTCTCTAAAACAATGTAAAAATAGGGGAGGGGGCTAACAGTGTAACTCAGTGCAGATGCCCTGGGTTCAGCCCTCAGTGCTACCAAAGGGATGGGGTGGGGGACAATATGAAAACATTTTTTTCTTGCCTCCACCACTGTCAGTATGAGATTGAACTGTGGCAGATATCCCATCTGTTAGCAATAACTCTGCTTTGATGTGGATTAGTTTATATCCTAGTAACCACCTGTTTTATTTCTGGGGTTTTGTTTTTTAAAACAAGGTCTCACTATGTAGTGTTGTGGGCTGCCCTTGAACTAAGGAGCCCAGGCTGGCCTTGAACTCATGGGAATCTTCCTGCCTCAGCTCTCAAGTGCTGGCATTGTAGGCCTGTGCCACCACATCCAGCTGTTTTGTCTGTCTTAGGAATGGAGCAGAGGAAAATGTTGTATCTTTAAATCCTAGAATTTCTCGTATACTTTTTTCAGTATTTCTTTGCCATTTTTATCTTTTCTTCTAGAATTCATGTTAGATAGAGGGCTCAGGATTTAGCTTAGCGGCATAAGCACCTGCCTTGCAAACAGGCAGTCGTGAGTTCAATCCCTGGTACCGATAAAAAGGAAAAAGACAAAAAAAAAAAAAAATTCATGTTAGACATATGTCAGACAAGCTTATCCTCTGTTCCATGGTTCTTAGCCTTTGTTCATTTGTTCTATGTTGATTTTTTAAATGCCACCTTTGTTTTTTGTTTTTATGCTTTTAAAGTCATCTCATAATTGTCATTTAAAGTTCTTAGAGAATAATCCTGTTTCATTTGTCTTTTTAGAAGCGTGTGTGTGTGTGTGTGTGTGTGTGTGTGTGTGTTTTGCTGGGGATTGATCCCAGGCTTTGCGTGTGCTAGACAAGTGCAGTAGCACTGAGCCACACCTCTAGCCCTTCATTTTATGCTTTGAACTTTGACCTTTAGCTTCTAGAGTGCAGGTTAGTGTAATTCTTTTTCAGCCTGGTATGAGCTTTATTACTGAGTGATCTTGTTTTCTGTTTGTTCATTTCTCAGTTTGGGCTAGAGGTTCCTGGACCAAAGGAAGGGTAGGGATTTGAATTGTAATCCAGGGACCCTTGCTCTTCAGAGATGCTTTCACTGCCTTCCACAATGATGGGACTTACTTTCTTCTTGGGGATGGATGTTTGTCTCTGACCCAGCATCTTACCTTGAGGAGTCCCAAAACTGCTTCTAAACTTTGAAAGATGAAAACACAAAGGTGATAAACCTGTGTACCTTCTGAGGTGGCCAGAGACTTTATACATTATCTGGTCTATTACTAGACAGAAGTCCTAAAGTCTTCCTCTCCAAACTGTTCGTCTCAGTGTATAAAAAGCAAGCTGGAGAGAAAAGCTGCTTGTAGTTATCAGCACAGAAGCCTTCTGTGATGTTTTGTACCACAGATTAAACCCTTGATTGTAAAACCTCTTTTGTTAACTTTGTGTTTTTCAAACCAACTCTGAGGCCTTCTGTGTATGAGACAATGTGGCAGCTCCTACCAGGGTTGATTCTAGCTCCACTGAAATCCCTCCACGGTGGACCTGTTGACTATTCTGAATAGGAAGCACTTTAATCCCTTCTCAACTGCCTCTCCACAGTGCTGAGCCTTCAAAACAAAAGGGCAACCAAAAACTCAGTTCCAGTAACCGGTTGGTTAATTTCCAAGGAAGGATCTCTTGCAGACCACAGTAATAACAGGAGAGGGCACCGACCCTTCCTGGGCTCCAGTGGGCTCTCCACCTGCCCAGTTGTTATGCTGGTAACTGGAAGCTTTACTCTCAGGGAAGTGTCCTCGCTTCTGCTTGAAGCAGTGTGTGTGTCTTCATCTCCAGCGATTTCCCTCTCCGAGTTATATCAGGAGGTGCTGTGGTGTTCTTGTCAGCTGTATTGCTGGCTTCTGGCACCTGGGCCTCTGAACCTTGACCTCAGCCTCATACTATTTCCTACCCAGCACCCTCTTTGCCTGCCCAGAGCACCTGACTTTCCACTTTCTTTGTTGCAGTCCCCCACTTGACACTTCTTTAATGTCCCCAGCACTTCTCAGTCACACTTGACCATATTGGTTCACACCTGTTAATAAGGGACCTCTCTGTGCTACCTTACAAGTATATCAAGTATGCATGTGTTTGTCTGCTGCTGTCAACTCAGACAAGTCCTTGTCAGCTTTAGACTGGACAGCTTACAGAAGGCCTAGTTTCCTCAACCTAAGGTCAAAGTGTTGCCCTGGAAATGCACTTGGACCTGCCTTCTGCAGCTGGAAAGCCCCACTGACTTCTCCCTGAGGAGCAGCTCCTTTTCAGGCTGCAAGCTGTGCTGCTTGTCTGGCGCGTCTCAGCAGAGCATCTCCCCAGAGGCTTCTACCTGAGCGCGTTTCTATGATTCCTCAGGTAGCTGCCCACTGGGAAGCAAGCCCCCGAGGGCAGGCTGTGCCCAGCCCACCCCGGTGCACACTCAGCTTTTTGCCTGCTGTGGAGATGGAGTCCTAAGTGCACACTGGAGAAGAACGAGGCTTCATTCTTGCTAGGATCAAGTTGGTAGCTCAGGATCTTCACAAAAGTGTGGGTGGGAGGAACAGGACCCAACGCACTTCCTCGGGGAGCGGCTTCGGGCTAGCGCCGCCCTTCACCCAGTTGCTGCGCCTAGCAAGTGGCTGGCCCACAGCTCTTGCATGATGTCCTTCAAGATCCCTCTTCTCCTGGGGCACAGGGTTGCAGGGACGCGAGTGTCGGGAGCGGCTCCCCTGCCGCGCTGTCTCAGTACGGTGAAGGGAGCCAACTTTCTGGCTCCAACTCTGACCGCCAGGCCGCGGACTCCAGGAGTGGGAGGCCCGGCCGGGACCCCGGCGGGCGGGGCGGGCGCGGCCGGTCTGACGTGTCTCGGCGGGATTGGAGCCGCCGCCCTATATAGTCGCGCTGGCCCGGGCGCTGAGCCTCGGAGCCCAGCTTCTCCCGTGCGGTGCGGTGCGGTGCGACGCTGCGTGGCGTGGCGTGGCGTGGTGAGGCGCGCACGGACGGACTCAGGACGCGGCACCCACGAGTGAGCGCTCCGCTGGGCGGGTAGGGGACTCGGGCCTAAGGACGGGAGTGGGGGCGGCGCTCGCCGCGGCTCTGGCCGGCCTGGTCCGGCCCCTCCAGGACTCGGCGGGTGGGGGCCGCTACGTGTCACTCCGCGCATGGCCGCGCTGCGCGGGCGCAGAAACTTTACCAAGTCCGCCCCTGTTGGTCTCATCGCCGTTCAGGCCTGTCCCGTTGCATAGCTGCTCCAGTCCAGCCGGACTCCAGGCTCCGGGCTCCGCGTTCGGGCGGCTGCTGTGGGGGAGGGGCGGCGACCTGGCCAGGTTGGTGACGTGGGCGCCTAAGCGCCCCTCCCCCGCGCAGACCGCCTTACCCCTTGCTTCCCCTAAGTTACTGGCGGGCTGGGGTCCCAGCACCACAACTGAACCACTCACCCTGGCAGGTCGGGATCTGAACCGGGCCGGATCGGCCGTACCTCCACCTGCCACCAACTTAGGTGGTGCTAGTGGCCCCCGGTTCTTCAGCCCAGTGCAACTTGGACGCATCCCAGGGTCCACGGATGAAAAATACATTACGGAAAAATACCGAATTTGGATGAAAGGGCAGGAGGCCGAGTGGGCTGCTGTTCCTTTAAGCCTGTCCCCGCCCGCGGGCGCTCGTGGCCTGTGGGAGGGCCGTGCTGAGGTGGCATCTGCGAAAGTTCCTCCGCAGGCCAGGCTGTCTGCCTCCCAGAGCTCTGGGCCTCTGTGCACCCTGGGTCGGGCACCCTCACACCCTGACTGGCCCTCTGAGCAGGATTACGTTTTATGCTGATGTTCCTAGCGTTGAGTACTTTGGAAAAAGTTCTTTGCAGGATTTCTGTGAATACGAAAATAAAACAGTTTAAACTTTAGAAGAGGCACCTGGGTCCCAGCCTGTATGGCATGGTGTGCAGAGCCTTGGAGAGTTAAACCAGGCTGGCTCAGAGCTCCTGGAACAGAACAGGCAAATCCTCTCTATGCTGTAGCACTTGTGTAGATAGTTGGCAAAGCTTAGAAGGGAATCAAATTAAGTACTACTTTGTGCAGAAGTAGAAAAGTTGAATTCTTCATTTCAGTGCTTTCAACGTGCACTTCTTAGCACCAAGGCTGCACTATCACAGCTGTCGCAACCTCTGTTTTCTCCACTGCAGGACTCTCCTGGTGGCCCCAGTTCTTGAAGTAGAAGAGGAAACTGTTGACTTTTACTCTGCCTTCTTCCTTCAGTTTTTGTTCTGTTGGCTGCTTAGTTATGCATTAAGATATGACTGTGTCCCCTGTGGACATTTACATGCTGGAAAGCAAGCCTGACCTCCAGGTGGAGACTAATTTGAGAGGCCCATGGCTTTTGGTGCTGTTTCACCCCAGCTTCGTGTGGGGAAGGTAGTCATGAGCAGCCTGGGGAAGCAGGGCTAAGGAGAGATCAGTTTTCTCTAGACCAAACAGAAAGAAGCCATAGATTTTTTCATTTATCTTCGTGTGTGTGTGTGTGTGTGTGTGTGTACACACGTATGTAGGTACTAAGGATCAAACTCATGACCTCACACTTGTCAGGCAGGCACTGTGCTTCTGAGCTATATCCCTGGTCCTTTTCTCATATATCTTTGATCTTTGGGCAGAACCTTGACAGCTGCACAGGAAGACTTGGGGCCCCCACTGAATGCCTGAGTTTCCTGTCCCTGGTGGGTCTGAAACTGGGTAGAGGAACATCCAGAGTCCCTTTCCATCCTGCCTAAAGTAGCGGTGTGACTGGCTTAGTGAGAATGGGTCAGACCTGCCTTGGGTCTCATGGGAACTTGGCAAGTAGAAGAGTAAGATGGAGGCCATGTTCAGCTATGGTTACTGCTTGAGGCATTGAAGACCCATCCAGGTGCCGCCAGATGGGCCTGTGGGAGTTGTCAGTTGAGGCAAAGCTAATACAGTGGGTGCAGGTTGGGGTGGACCTGGGATGGTCCCCACTGAGTTGGCCCTTTATTCCAGAATCCTGGTCTGCATTTATACATGAGTCCTCAGACATGTGCTTAAGGCTGATTCTCTTCAAACAGGATCTGAGATAATAAAGCCCCATTAGGTGATACCAGAACTCTAAGAATAAGTGTATCTGTGATCCATTCTCTTGAGCACTCACAGATCGCCTTTGAAATCTGAAGGCCAGTGCCCCAGCGTGTGCCGTCAAGCCAGCCTAGAGTTCTTTGGAGGACCACTATATGCTTGGCAGTACAAAGGCCTTTGCATAGGAAAGCAGTGCTGCAGCCACTGCCCCAGGCTCTCCCTTGGTAGTGGCAGTGGGCTTAGCTATAGAGTGATATTTGTTCTCAGAGTAGACCGATAAACGATAACCAGTACGGAACAGGAAGGGGCCTTCCATGGCTCCATGCAGCTGATAGGATATTGCAGTTAACATTGCAGTAGCTGTAACTGGGCACTGAAAACTTGTGTGGTTCTGAAAGAATGGGGACTTGTGAGTGGCAGCACAGAGTGGCAGTGTGGGTATAGTTGAGGTCACACAGGTGAACCTGGCTTGGCAAGGAGTGGCTGCTGGATTTAAGAAATGATTTTGACACCTGAGGCCACCTCGAGTGGGAGGCCAAACTGTGCCGGGCAGTTGGCAGCCAAGTACTGTGAGGCCTGACAGGAGAACTGTGAGTCAGAGGTGAGCACGATTTTGGAGATGGTGCCACAGAGTGTCTGGCGGGTCCCTTAAGTGCAGAGAAGCCTGCCTTGTTCCTGGGTTGGCTCTGTGCAGTCTGGCCAGACTCTGAATCCTGGCATGGGCACAGTTGTGAATGTGCTACTGTGACTCTGTGGTTTAATAAGGCTTTTCTTCTTTACTTTAATCTTTAAAATATACAGGTTAGTTGGTTAGCAGTGCTATGCAGCACTCCCCATCAGTTTGTTCCTCTCCCCCTCAGTCAGGGTACATCATTGGGTGGCAGGAGGGGGCCACAGTTCAGCTGGAGCCCTGAGCTTGTAGTAGTTTTCCCATGTGACTCAGGCTTTGCTTTTAAAGTTTTGAAAAATCTAGGCCAAGGTGGCCAGGCTGTCATGACACTCGTCTGTGTTTCCTGTTGGACCTTAACTCAAGTTTGCACCGTGGGGAGTCTGTGGTTACTTTGGTCATAGGGACAGTGCTATTCCTGCTGTTTGTTTCTCTGTGTCTGATTATACAACACAGAGCCCACCTTTGCCAATATGAGAAGCACTCTGGGCTGCATGCAGTGGCATGCAGTTGACCACCTGCATTTCACCATCCAAAAGGTCCTCAGAGGCAAAGTGACCTCCCAACCCTCTCACTTTACTGAGAAGTTTTTGGTCTTTCCCAGAAAGACTTTGAGGGTTTCTTCTGATCTTAGCATATTATAACCTGGTTTCTAAGTCCCCAGTGGGTTAGGAAGGACTGAAGGACTTTTGCAGGATAACAGCAAAAAAAAAAAAAAAAAACCACAGGAACTGCAGAGTTACCCAAAATTCCTGTGACAGGATAGGTCCTCTAGTCCACTCTGAGAGCTCAGAAGGCCTGTAGCCCACATTCTATGAGGGAGCCGGAAAGGAGGGTCGGGGGCCCACAGGACAGCCTGATAATTTTGTGAGGATTTGGCTCCAGATGCTTAAATCTGAAAGCATTAGCATTTACGGATTATTTCCTTGGGTCCATGGAAGAGTTGTCCTCTGAGGGTCAGAGATGTTTCAGATATTACTATAATTTTTTTTTTTTAAATCACTGGCCTAAAAGCAGGGCTCTCATTTTTTTCTCCAAGAAATTTGCATAAGTATTGGTAGTAGCAGCCCAGGTGTAAAGATTTTGACCTTTTTTGGTTGGGAGGTAAAAGGATCTAGGTAGCAAGAAAATAAATAACTATTCTCCGATTTTCTTCTTCCCTTTCTCTCCCTTCCTTTGTCCCACTAGCAAAAGCTGGCAGGCTGACATAGAGGCGGCCTCAGGACGGACTTTCTGGCTACTGACCATTTTGCTGGTAAGTCTGGTAAGGATGGATTTCTTTAGTCCCAAGGATGAATCCTTGGGACCTTTAGACCTTGCCAAGACCCCACCTTTGCTCCAGTACAGACTTGTACCCCTCAGCTGTGTCTTCCACCTTCTTTTTTTAGTCTTTTTTTTCTTAGATGTCAGTTGTGTTCAAAATTATCCTCATTGTAATCTTGCTTGACAATTTGGAATGCAGAGTTTAGTTTTCTGAACTTGCAGACACATATTGTTATATTGTAAAAATTAAGCAAAAACTCACTTTATATTCAGTTACTCGCCACCGCTATACCTTTTGCCAAGTTGGTGTAAAAAAAGACAACTTGATAACATGGTTGAATGAAGAGAATGGGCCTCTTCTGTGTGCTGGCAGTGGGAATTGTGGGAGCCAGTAAGCCAAACTCCTACCTCAGATTGCTGACCTGCACCCTATTTTCCAAACAAGGAACAGTGGCCCTCAGTTCACATCCCACTGAGCTCTTTGGCTGTCCTGATCTGAGGAACTCTGCCTTGGGCCAGGTTCTCCCATCCCTGCAAGTCAGTGGAGGAAAATGAACAGTTTACAGGCATCAGGGACACTGAGTGTATGTGTGGGCCTGTTTTAATGTTGTGCTAAAGCTCTGTGAGACTGCTTCTTCCTGCCATGCCAGGCATCCTGAGGTGTTTCTGTTTGTGCCCCGGATGAGCTCTTTGTCTTCTGCATTGGCTTTTTGTACCAATTATCATGTGATCTGTAGGGTGCTACAGACTGTTCTTGAAGCCCCTGGGACAGGCATGCCTTTCTGGGCAGCCCTGACAGGCTAACCGCCAGTGTCTTGGTCAGTCTCCTCAGTGACAGCCTTTAAGGGCTCTCGTTTACTTGCATTTATCTGTTGGTGAGCGTTTTGGTGTGAGCTTATATCAGAGATGGTGAGGAAAATAAAAATATGTAGTTTGTATGGTTAAAAAAACTTAGGTTAACAGTCTCACAGATAATCGAGAGTTGGCTATATTTTGACTTTTCCTTTCTTCTTTGTTGTAGTGGCTTACCCGGATTTCGTGTGGGTGTGAGATCAACCATGAGTTCTGTTGCAGTTTTGACCCAAGAGAGTTTTGCTGAACACCGAAGTGGGCTGGTTCCGCAACAAATCAAAGGTGACAGCCTCTTCATATACTCTTCTTAATAACTCTTAAGTCACTGCTCCTTCTAAACTGTTGTCAAATTCCGTGCCCAACATAGAAGAGCTCCCCTGGCTAATACATGAGCCCTTTGCCACCGCTAGTTATAATGGTAGAGCTGGCCATGTACAAGGGATGCATCCCTACCTGGGGAGTTATGAGATGTAGATCCAGTGAATTAGACTGCTGCAATCAATAGGGATCTTAAGAGTTGCTGTCCCAGGTGTAGGGCACCAGATCTGGGCTGCAGTGCATCCCAGAACACTGCTGGGCCTCACAAAGTAAAGACTGAGCCTGGCTCCCAAGTGTTAAGTAACAGCTGGCCATGATGACAAGCAGCACTACTCAGTGGACCACAGTGCCAGACACAGAGGTACCTTGGACATTTCTGGTCCCTGTCTTAAGTAGAAAGGAACAGATGAAGTTGATTTTCATATATTTTATTTAACCCAGTATATCTAAAACTATTCCTGCATCATCTTTTTGATATATTAAAAGAGAACCTTTTATTCCTTTTCTTTCCCTTCAAAATCTTGTATGTTGATAAATACAGTGCATTTTTATTTGAAGGCTAAATTGTTTTCTAAAAATCCTTAATCTGTACTTAAATTTTCTAAAATTTTTCCATGGAAAGAGTATATCATTCTACACCAAGTTGTTTTCCAATAAGTAAATTGAGTATAAGTTGTTAAATTTAAAGTGAATTGATTTATAAAGTTCACTTAATCAGTAGTGTGAGTCACGTTGTACTGCTCGTTTCTAGGGTCTGTGTTGTACATTGACACCCTGGACTGGCTCTGAGTACCTTAGGGACCTGGGATCTTCCTGTTCATCCCAGCCTCCCTGTGAGTTCTGTAGAGGGAAGGTGACACTAAGAGAGTTTATGGTCTTGTCAGCACTGACCTGGGCAGCATGGCCTTGGGGCTAGCAAGTATGAACCTGGACTCAGGCATAGGCCCAGTTCCAAAGCTCACCCTGATTCTGTCTGTGTGCGCGCATGGCATTTTTATTGGGCTTTGACGTTGCTGGACACTGTGCAACCTTGAGTGTTTGAGTCATCCAGAATAGTAATCCAGAATAGCCTTCCTTTCCTGGAGAGTATGGTTAATGGAACAAACCTATGAACAGATACTATGAAAGATGAAAGTGACAAATAGCCGAGGGCCCTGATTTCCCCAAATCCTGCTCTTGTCTTTCTTCGATGGGTAGCAGCGGAAACAGTGGTTCCCCTGTGAAGTTTATTTCTGCATTGTGTGTCACCATGGAAGTACAGCTGGTGTATACGTTGAGGCAGTTCCTCTGGGCAGTGCTGGACAACCCCATTACATTGATTTGTAGTTTAAAGGCCTGCTTAGTGCTTATATGTACTGTGACAAGGCCTGCTCTCGGAGGGGCTCACTTGCCCCAGAAGGGGAGTGGGGCTCACAGTGTCTGTGCTGACTGTTCAGATGGGACCATGTGGAGGGACAGTACTGAGCTGTCAGAGACTGGGAGAGTACCAGGTCTGAGCCTGGTGAACCCCTGGGCTCTTTCCCAAGACTGAATGGGGAGAATCTGGGAGAGGTGTCGCTCAAGCAATTGGCATTTCAGGGAGGATTCTTAACATGGACTTTGGTATAATACTGAAATTAGTGTCTTTCCATTAAACTGTGTTGGCTGGACCAGTGGCCACTTTAAATTCAGAAGAGGAGAGTGACCCTCCAACTTACAAGGATGCCTTCCCGCCACTTCCTGAGAAATCAGCTTGCTTGGAAAGCGCCCAAGAACCTGCTGGAGCCTGGAATAACAAGATCCGGCCTATCAAGGCCTCTGTCATCACTCAGGTAGAAATGCCATTCTTTATTACCCTGTCTTTTCTTGTAGGAAGTGATTGGGTCTGGTAAAGGGTTTTGAACGTGCAAAGAGGTGGGTTCTTTGGGAGAGCACCTTCAGTCTAAGTCAGACCCCACACCAGGGATGCCCAGGTAGCACGGCTCATTGGCATCCCTCACACCTCCAGAGCTGGCCCACAGTTTGGTGAAGGTAGTGCTTACATGGGTCCTGTGTGCACTTCCCTTCACTGCAGTTCAGTCTCTTAAAATCCACATCAACAAGTTTGTCTCTCTAGAAGCAGTTAACCGGTTTCTCCATTTTCTGTGACTTCATTAGCCTTTCTCTGTGCTGCCTGCCTATCTCTGATCTTGGGGGCATCAAATCTTCCATGTGAATGCATGTTTGTTCATCTTGGATAATTACCACCCCTGTGTTGGTAAATCCTTGTCCCTTTACACTTGTAATCAACTGTGCTCCCATCTTTCTGTTGTGATTTGGGTGCTATCTTGTTACTAATCTTATTAAATGTTCTGCTTGGTAGTTTAGATCCCTAACCAGGTTACTCAACTCCTCTTTCTTCCACTGTTACCCCTCCTTAGTAGTTTAGATCCCTAACCAGGTTACTCAACTCCTCTTCCTTCCACTCTTATCCCCCTTAAGGCCTTGCTTCATTTAGCAGAGTCATTTACCATTCTCTGGGATCTGACCAGGCTTTGGGCCCCTGCCTGCAGTCCTCTCTGTGCTCCTAGTGTAAGTGCTGCTTTGATGTGTGGGAAAGTCTGTCCATCTTCTCTGTCTCTACCCATTTCATGTAAATGCTCAGCACCATGTAAATGCTTACTTACCTCCTCTGTAGGCATGCTTTATTTATGTACATGTGTGTTATGGGTGTAGTTTTCCTCTGCACCGAAATGCCAGGCCCCTTACATATTTTTTCTGTTCCTCTGACTGCCCCATCTCAGGACCCCTATGAGTGTGGGATAGTAAATGAAGCTGTATTCCAAACTCTATATTGACTGTCCTTCTTTGCTTTGTTGACATCTTTAAGCTCTCCATTTTTGCCCTTTTCTGAGCAGGTGTTCCATGTGCCCCTGGAAGAAAGAAAATACAAGGACATGAACCAATTTGGAGAAGGTGAACAAGCAAAAATCTGTCTTGAGATCATGCAGAGGACCGGTGCTCACCTGGAACTCTCTCTGGCCAAAGACCAAGGCCTCTCCATCATGGTCTCAGGGAAGCTGGATGCTGTCATGAAAGCCCGGAAAGACATCGTTGCTAGATTGCAGACTCAGGTAAGTATCCCCAGGCCTGGTGCTTCTGAGCAGCTGTGTAGTAGTGCCATTTGTTATCCTCTCCTATGTGTGGGCTAGAACTTCCATGGATTTTTCCTACCAGTGGGGTAGTTCAGTCAGTTGGAGTTAAAACTGCCATCTTTGGAATCCCTGGCATTTTAACGAAATCCCACAAAGTCGGTGATAGAACTTGGACACCCACCACTATAGCCATTGGAGCAGGCACTGACAGTTAAAGGCTTATTCCAGAGTGTGAGACACTGAATAGATGCTGGGCTTATTCAGTGGTATGTAGATGAGCAGTTTCCAAGACTTGAATGAGAATGAGGTGGTGTACCTGTTACTAATACACATTTCCAAGCCCCTTACTTGGGAGATTACAGATTCAGATTATTAACCATTCTCTATCCTTGGTGGTCTGATGCCAGTACTTACAATGTAGTCGGAAACCATTGGGGTAAGTAAATCTTTGATAGTGTTTTTCCCGACTGCCAAGAAAAGAGTAGAAAATCTTGAAATGTTATAGGACAGCTATTGTAGTGAACAGATTTATTCAGAAATGCAGGTTCCTCTTCCTGCCACTGAGCTTCCACAAGCTCAAGTGAGTGCTGGCCCTAGAACAGGGTAGCTAAAGAGGGAATCTGACTCTGCTCAGCCACTGATAGCCACATGAGGCCTCAGGACAGTCCTAAAGGCCAACTCACTCTGGAATTACATTTTTGTGGTGCTGGGTATTTCTTTGAGACAGGGCAGCACTAAGTTGCTTCAGTTGTCCGGACTGGGCTCATACTTATGAGTCTCCTTGTTTTAGCTTCCCAGAATGCTAGGGCTGTAGCAAATACTAACCCACCCCACTGAATTAAATCCTTAATGTCATAAAGGTAAAGCCAGTGCCTGTAATTGTTAAGCATTGTGGTTGATACCTTATAAGCTCTGAAATTTCCGCTGTTGTGTACTTATCAATGATGCCTGAGTGTCATATTTTGTAATTGGACACTTTGGAAGGAAGGGACACATCATTAGGTTATGTGAATGCTCTCATCCCCAGACTTTTCTCCCTTGCCTGTCAGTATCCCCCTGGAGGTTAAACTCGGGGCTGCGTTTGCTAGGCAAGCACTGTATACTGAGCTGTTTCCAGCCCTCAACTATTTTGAGGCAAATCCCCAGTACATTATTTCATCTGTGCCTAGCATGTGGCCCATTTATAAACATTGTGCCATTCTCTCACATAGAAGTGCAGAAACACTTGTATTTGACCCTGTCTGTACTAGATTTCCTATTAACCCATATAACCTTTTCTAGATAACCAACCAGATAACCAGCCGCTGCCTTTGGTTGCAGTGTCAACAATCTCTTGCTCCTGAACAGCACATCCCGTCCTTTTTAACGCCTTTGGTTTTGGGGGAAGGTGATCTGTTCTGCTATCGCTCTGATTTCCTGTAGACTGGTGTTGGATCCGGGGCCTGGTTTCTTCCACATTGAAGTTGTTTGGCAAGGAAACTTTGTTGGTATGCTGTGTGCTTGGTGTTGTAGCTGGTCCTACAGGGACTGATTCTCAAGTTGACCCTTGGACTGGGATGTCTTCAGCTTGATTCATCTCATACACAGTTCCTTGCCAGTTTTCCATCACCTCTGCTCCCTGCTCTCTGCTTCAGTGCTCTCCCATCTTTTGTGGTGATCGAGGGTACTGAGATTACCCTATCTCTGCTAGTGGTACTGCTTCAGGTTTGTGAGAATAAAGGAGTCATGAATTCAAACTGTATCTAATTCAGATGAAAAAATGACAGCATTTAAAATTGAAATTACTCCTTTTGGGGGGAGTTTTCCTGTCCTATTATGTAGTTAGGTTCATTTGTATTGGTTTATTTCAATTTTTAAAAGCTATGTCTCAAGTTTACATGATCGTAGTGGTAAGACTGTATGGTAAGTTACATTTGAGGAACCCTCCCTCCTGACTCATGGTCTTTATCCTGTCCCTAACCCTCTTTATGTGTGACTATTCCTACCGAATCCTTGGCTTATTCTTCATTGTTTATGTTTAAGAATAGTAGCAAAGGACTGGGGATTTAGCTCAGTGGCATAAATGCCTGCCTAGCAAGTGCAAGGTTGTGAATTCAGTCTCCAGTACCAAAAAAGAAAAAAGAATAGAAGCAAAACATTTTTTCTGTGAACTGTTTTGTACCCGAGTTCTTTTCCTGGCTATAATTTGGAAGGCTCTCTATCAATAAACAGTGATTACCCATACTTTGTGGATATGCTGTAATTTATTTAAGTACTCCTTTTGATAGGCATTTGGGTAGTTTCCAGACTTTGGCTGTCATCAGATATGTCAATAAAAAGCATGTGCATATGGTGTTGCCATTTCACCAAGTAGGATAGATTATGGGTGAATTAGAGGGTGACCACATATGCAATTTGACTACCATAGGTGAGTTCTGCTCTTAAAAGATGTGCGTCTTGCCAGGTGTCTTAAGTTTTTTTCTCATTACTGATGCAAAACACTTGATATCCACAAGTTAAAGAGCAAAAGGTTTATTTTGGCTCATAGTTTGTAGATATTTCAGATCATAGTCAGCTGGTTCCAAGGCAAGGAGGCCTGGCCAAGGAGAAACAGTTCATATGTGGTAGGCTGGAAGCTCTTCCTCTTTTTATTCTATCCAGGCTACAAGCCTGTTGGTTGGTGCCACCCACATCTAAGGTGAGTCTTCCTATTATCCACACGGAGAACGGTCAGTGGATTCGTCCACATGATCCAGTCACTCCCCAAAGCCCGCATACGAACTCAGGAGGCTTGGGGAAGGATTTATGCTATGATAACAAGCATGGTGACATCACAACTAAGCTACTCAAAAGGCTGGAGCAGAAGGATCACATATTCAAGGCCAGCTTGGGCAACTTACAAAGACTTTCTCTCAAAATAGAAAATACAACGGACTAGGGATATGACTCCATGGTAGAATGCTTGCTTAGCGTGAGTGAGCCCTTGAGTTCCATCCTCGGTACCACAAAAGGAAGAAAAGAAGTTGTATGGTATGTCTTGCACTCTAATCAGCAGCAAGAGGAAGCTCACCTAATACTTGAATTTTCACCAGTCTGAAACATATCTGAACATGCTTTTATTGTATTCACAATGTTTTCCTGTGAAATGTCTGTTCTAGTCCACATTTTTCTATCATGTTAAGCATCCTGCTAGTTTTCAGGAGCTCTATTAATGCTTCTAACAGACGTAAGTAAGTAAAAATTACAAATTTTTTATCTGTCATTTGAGTTTGTTTGGTTGTTTGTTTTTGTGACAGTCTATACTTCAGGTTGGTTTTGAACTCAATAGGTAGCACAGATTGGCATCAAACTCACAGCAATCCTTCTGCCTCAGCCTCCTGAGTGCTGAGATTATAGGTTATACCACCACTTCCTGCTTGTCATTAATTTTTTGATGTTGGTGTGTTTTGCTCTTTTATTCTTGTGTAGTCCCATTTATTATTTGTTTGATTTCAAGCCACTGTAAGGAAAGTTTCTTTCAGTTCCAAATCATAAGAAAGTTTATCCAAGTCTGGTATGATAGCCCTGAAAAGGGGAAAGGGATAGCTTGTTGCAGTGGGGATAAGAATTTTACCTTTTTCCATACAGATGTCACCACTGTTTTAAAATTCTTTAGTTTTCTTGAGACAAGGGTCTAGCTATGTAATTCAGGCTGGCCTCAGCTTTGCAGCCTCTAAAGTGCTGGGATTACAGGCGTGTGTTGCCTTACCAGGCCAGCATCATTTTCAGAAGGTGGTCTTCCCCAGTGATAGAAGCATTTTATTGTGTCCTAAATGTTCCCAGTAAGCCAGATCTGCAAGGGTTTCCAGCCCTAACCCATTGGTCTGTCTTTCTTTGTGCTGTTTTCCCATTTACTGGAAATGGTTGTAAGTTTTAATACTTGGTAATGGTAATTTTTACCACCTCCACTTTGGACCTACTTTCTAAGTTTTCTTGTCTATTCTATTCTTGTTTTACCATGCAAGCTTTACAATTAGCTTTGAGCTTAAAACTGATTGTTAAAAATTAATCTGTAAGAATTGACATTTTATGATTTATTTCAACATTCTTTTGTATCTTTTAAGGTATATTTCTTTTTGTGCTGTGTTGTGCTTTTGTATTGTGTGATGTCTCACTATTTTTTGTCTTACTAGAAATGTTTTCTGCCATCTTTTCTAGTATACTTCTATGTGTATGCATATGTGTGTAGGGTACTAGGGATTGAACCCAAGACCTTCACATTGAGAGCTGTGTCCCAGATCTTTTATTAACTCATTTTGAGACAGAGTTTTGCTAAATCACCCAGACTGGACTCCAAATTTCAATGCTTTTGCTTCAGCCTCCCAGAGTGCTAGCTAGCATCACAAGAGTGTATACTATAATCATGCCTGGTGTGTGTGTAAGTATGTGCCGTTGAGGAATATACCTTCCAGCTAGCTATTGTTTATGTTAAGGCTGTTGATTTCTAGAGTCCATTTTCTTCAAGTTTTAAGGAAGGAGAGTAGTAAAAGCAAAAATCAGTCCATGAAGGTGGTAAAGCAGTAGTTTCTGCAGGTTTCTGTGTGTGCCGTCACTTGCCTCTCCCTTGGCTCCACCCCTCCCTCCAAGGATAGGTTCTATTCAAGGATGGTATGCCATTTCCACTCACACCCTTCCAGCAAATGGGGTAGGTTTGGTGGCATTCCAGTGAGAGAGTACATTGTGGAGAAGTATGCTTTTTCATGCAAAGAAGTTTTTTGTTTGATTCTCTTCCTGCTGTAGGCCTCAGCAACCGTTCCCATTCCTAAAGAACACCATCGTTTTGTTATTGGCAAAAATGGAGAGAAACTACAAGACTTAGAGCTAAAAACTGCAACCAAAATCCAGATCCCACGCCCAGATGACCCCAGCAATCAGATCAAGATCACTGGCACCAAAGAGGGCATCGAGAAAGCTCGCCATGAAGTCCTTCTCATCTCTGCTGAGCAGGTGAGGCTTCTGAGTGCCCAAGCTGCACAACACTAGCCTCATTTCTGATGGCCTGGTTATGGCCTTCCTGTCACGCCTTGCCTCTAGGCCTACAAAGCCCTGTTTGTCCTCAGCTGTCCTTACTAGCCCATCCTGTCCTCTCCAGGACAAGCGTGCTGTGGAGAGACTAGAAGTGGAGAAGGCCTTCCACCCCTTCATCGCAGGGCCATACAACAGGCTTGTGGGTGAGATCATGCAGGAGACAGGGACACGCATCAACATCCCTCCACCGAGCGTCAGCCGGACAGAGATTGTCTTCACTGGAGAGAAGGAGCAGTTGGCTCAGGCTGTGGCTCGAATCAAGAAAATTTATGAGGAAAAGGTGTGCACTGCTGGAGGTAGACACCATAGGTGGGAAGAGGTTATAGCAATGGATGGGATGGGTTCAGGGTCTGCACTGTTGTTTGTCCTCTTATGTTAGACACACAACCTAGTGCAGAGTGTACCTGGTTCAAGGCTGGTGTTCTTTCTGTCCTGTGTGTGTGTGCATCCTGCCCGAGTCTCTGGCTGTATCAGGGCAGCATCTACAATATGGAATTGTTTGTGTCTTTGGTTAAGGCTGTTAGCTCAAGATGGCCAACTCTCAGTTTTAAAACTGAATCTTCAAGTTGGGGAAAGGACTTGGCATTTTCATGTTTTCCAGCTTGACATTATCGTTCAGGGTGACTGGACTTTGGAAAAGGCCAGTCCTTTAAAAGGTGGGGTTTCTAGGCAGTGTTGATCACAGCCCCACTTGGGACTGGCATGTGTGGTCTAGATCTCTAGGCTCACTTCCTACTCTGTCGGCAGTGTTGTCCTGTCCCCTCTGCCCGCCTCCTCCGCCTTCCCTGCTGACTGCCCTTACGGTGCTCTTAACTAGAAAAAGAAGACCACGACCATCGCAGTGGAGGTGAAGAAATCCCAGCACAAGTATGTCATTGGGCCGAAGGGCAACTCACTGCAGGAAATCCTCGAGAGGACAGGTGTCTCTGTTGAGATTCCGCCCTCAGACAGCACCTCAGAGACAGTGATCCTTCGAGGCGAGCCTGAGAAGTTGGGGCAGGCGTTGACTGAAGTCTATGCCAAGGTAGCCAGCTCAGGCGTGAAATACACTTGGTTTTGGTGAATTTCTGGGGGCCCTTGGTAGACGGGCTCTTGCCTGGTATATCCTGGGGACCTAGACTCAGTGAAGTATGCCTAAGCGGGGTGAGCTATCTTGCTTTTGTTTCAACATAATCTTGAACCTTACAAACCTGTGAACCTATTTTTCTGACTTCCTAGGCCAATAGTTTTACAGTCTCCTCAGTCTCTGCCCCTTCCTGGCTTCATCGTTTCATCATTGGTAAGAAAGGGCAGAACCTGGCCAAAATCACTCAGCAAATGCCAAAGGTCAGTAAACACTTTCAGTCTGTTGAGCTGCCCAGCACTGTTTTTCTGTTGCTGTTTGTACTATTAAATATAGCCTGTTCCCATGGGTGGTTACAGGAGAGTGCAGTGTGTTTAGGTGTTGTGCATTAATCACTGCTTCAAGAAATACATCACTTAGGCGTTGTCATATGAGAAGAGGAAAACTTCTACACAAACTGTGTTAACTGTGACTTTAAGCTTTTCAAAGGGGAAACAGCAGTGCCCAGGCATCCTGAATAGGACAGGCATGGCAGAGACCCCCATTCTTGTGTTGAGATCAGTGTCTACTTTCTGTCATTTCACTTGCTTCTGGCTTTATACCTGGCAGAGTGGCCCCAGTCCTGTATGAGTCTTATTTCCAGGCAGCTGTACTTATTTTAAAATCATCCCTGCCATCTGTCTCACTCTTCACTTTCAGCTTTTCATGGGGGTGGTGATTGTGACCTCCTCCCCTGCCATGTACTTGAAGCAGTATGGGGCTGTCCACTGCCCTCAAGAGTGCCCTTGAGCTCTAGTGACAAATAGTTTTGCATGCAGAGGCAGAAGGTGTTGCTGCTACACCACTTATCCTTAGCCATGCCTCTCCTTGTTTGTGCCTGTCAGGTTCACATTGAGTTCACAGAAGGTGAGGACAAGATCACCCTGGAAGGCCCCACAGAGGATGTAACTGTGGCTCAGGAACAGATTGAAAGCATGGTGAAAGACCTGGTGAGTGCCCCTTCAGTCTGTACATGGCTAGGGCAAGAGGCTCTGGCCAATGGGAATGTTAGACCTCGCATGGGGCACAGAGACCAAAGGGCATCCTAGCTGCTGGGTGGTAGATACAGGAACAACCAGAAGCTGGCTAGAGAATTTTTAAACTTGCTCTAGGTGAGAGGAGACCTTATTTTGAAGGCAGGACCTTCCCAGGGGTATCGAGGACAATCTGAGAGAAAAGACAAGAGTTGGCATTTTCTGGGTTGGATATCTGGCTCCTTATCAGAATCCCAGCATGTCCCAGGGCCTGAAGCCTCTTTCTCTTGTCGACCTGCCTTGGGCTCCTCCTGCAGATTAACCGGATGGACTACGTGGAGATCAATATCGACCACAGGTTCCACAGACACCTCATTGGAAAGAGTGGCGCCAACAGTGAGTGACCTGTGGGAGTGCATGTTCCAGCCCTCCACAGGGCACCCTGAAACCCTGAGGTGGCTTTGTTGATTGTGAGAAGTGTACCTCAGTTTAGACAGCACAGGCCAGCACTGCTATCATAGGAGTTTCTGTTGTATAGCCTTCTTCACTTGCTGGAAGGGGCTACTTTCCTTTCTGGTAAGGGAAGAAAAGGCTGCAACCATTCTCGGGTTGATTGGCCTATTAGTAAATTGTTACTTTCAGAAATCAACCTGCTCTGCCCTCTCTGGAATCCCCCAGTGTTTTTGGCACTTGTACCTAAGTCTCAACCTGGGGAGGGATTCTGTTGTGCAACCAGCCATGTGTCAGCCTAGCCTCAAGATTCGATTTACCCAGGCTGACTATGGGAATGGGCTGGTATACTGCAAGCACTTGGCTGCATCCCTCTCCTTCACCTGCTTTAACCATATGACTGTGCCTACAAATCAGCGGTGCTTGCGTGTTCTGGAGATAACTCCCCACTCTGGGTTTTACCTTCAGGTAGGGGCAGAGAGACTGACACCTTCTTGTTCCTCGATCATTGCATCAACAGAGGACCCTTTCTGGGGCCCTGTCAACTGATACTCATGTCATTTATTTTGGTTGCAAGTAAATAAATAAATGCCTGTCTCCTTCATGGTGGTCAATGAACAGTATACTCTGCCACTTGTCAGTCTTGTGCTCTGGAACATTTTCATGATGGACAGGAATCCCAGGTGCGGCTTGAACTGTGTGCACACACTGAACTTGCTTCAGTGGTTTTACTTTTTATCTTGGCTAACCGTGTGAGAAAATATAGTAGATCAGTAATTTCTGATTCCTGCTTCCTAAGAATTGTAGTGCCTTTAAGTGTAATATAGGCAACAGTTTGTGTCTGTTCTGTTTTCTTGTGATAAGTTCCTAACCTGCATTTTCTCCCATATTCTGAAATCAGATGCCATTTGCTGTCTGCTACTCTTCCTGTACTGTTTCGTTCCCTTGGAACAGCTGCCCCCGGCACATACTGCCTGCCTCATCACCACCCCTGCATGCACAGTTCCGTGCAGGCACACAGTGACCAGACGCCTGCCTCAGTTCCTGGTGATAAGGCTTCTCCAGAGCTTTAGAGGCTCCTGGTTGTGCCTAGGGAAGGTGGCTGCAGGGGTGTTTGCAGCTAAGACAGCAGTGGGCTCAGTTTGAATGTAGATTGACACTGGACTCTGTGAACAGTAGTAGTATAGTGCGCATAAGCTTTTAGATGGGCATTGGGGTGCTGCTGTCTAAATGTGTGTAATCTGTTTTACTTGAATCATAGTTTCCAAACTTGTTTGCACATTGGAGTGTTTTAAATATTCTAAAGACCAGTCACACACCACCGAGCAGCTGCACCTCAGACTCAATTGAAGTTCAGTGGCCATGCCAGGTTTCAGATGAAGATGAGAACTGGTGCTCCAGAAACCTTGTAGGCTGATGAACGTATGGCCAGTTCTCATTTTAGACAACAGAAACTCATTATGCAGAATAGTGAAGACTAGTCGTGGCTTTGGGTTTGTGGGAGTAACTAATTAGGACTTTAGGGACTTGCTCCCATCCCTTTTGGCTGTCACTTATTCTGATGAGCCATCATATCCTCTGTGTCTTAAGATGTATTTCCTTTTGTGTCCCAAGTAAACAGAATCAAAGACCAGTACAAGGTGTCCGTGCGCATCCCTCCTGACAGTGAGAAGAGCAACCTGATCCGCATTGAGGGGGACCCGCAGGGCGTGCAGCAGGCCAAGCGGGAACTGTTGGATCTTGCCTCTCGCATGGTGAGTCCACAAGGAACAAGGCACAGACCTGTCTATAGATCATGCCTGAGAACAGCATTGTTTGGAGGGTGGTCCTGGAGAACAGAAGCTACAGAATCCCTGAGTTGATTTTCAGGGCCATATATCTTCCATTCTCCCCCATCACCGGCACATCTTGTCTCCCTCAGCCCCTGAGCTGTGCCAGGGAAGCACAAGGGTTCCCAGGGATCTCAGATGCTTGGCTGCCAACCCACAATTGTGACAATGTTCCTGGACTTTGAAAGGATCCCAAGTGACTCTGAGGTGTGGCCAGATTTGAAGATGATCATGGGCGATCACTTTCTACCCACAGAAGTACTGCCCTGCCCTGGGCCACATGACACCTGCCTTCTTACCTTATGCTATGAGTACTCTCACTGCTATGTGTCAGATGTACACAGCAGTAATCCTCAGCTTGGCTATGTGTGAGAATCACAGGGTGCCTTTAAAGGTCCAGAAAAAAAACAAATATATGGCACAGTAGACAACAGCAGATTACCCCAGGGAGTCACTGATACTGCCTTTTCCCAGTGCTCAGGACCCAGCTGCATCCAGAGTATAGTCAAGCCTCCTGCCACCCTGAGCTCAGTCCCTGGTCCCAGCTCACTTTGACCCAGCCCTCTGAGCCAGGGTGCCTTGTTCCAGAGTGTCTCCTGTCTGCATGGTCTGAATTCCACCGTCTGATTCTAGTCTCTCCTACCAGAGCTCTTCAAAATGTTTATCAGGCTGGTGTTTCCTTTGCAGGAGTCCAGCTGTGCCTGTTCTGTGTTTGCCTGACATATTAAGGGGCTGTGGGGCCAATTGAGACCCCTGTGGGTTCAGTGCATGTCGAACCATTCTTTTTTAATTACCCACTCAGGGAGAGTGGTTCAGGAGGGGGTGCTCCCTGCTTTGCAGAGTGCTGAGCCTCCAAGTAGCAAAGCTGGGCTCACCTCTAATTCTGTAGAAACAAGAGCTAACTCCACAGTCCTCACTGCCCTTGGAACATCTCTGGCTGAAGTGTCCTGTGGCCAGTCCTTCCGCTGTACTTTCTTCAGGGGGCTAACACACAGAATAACCGGACAGTGACTGCTGTTGGAGGGAGTAGGTGTCCATCATGGGCACTGATGACCTATGGCTCCCAGGGGTGAGTTAAGGAGCCACCTGGGCACTACCTCACCCACTGCTGTCCGTGGCTAGGCTGTGTGGTAGTGGTCCTCTGGCTTCCAGTGCCTGCTTATGATAAATGCTATTTCTACTTCCTATTTTTAGGAAAATGAACGTACCAAGGATCTAATCATTGAGCAGAGATTTCATCGCACAATCATTGGGCAGAAAGGTGAACGGATCCGTGAAATTCGTGATAAATTCCCAGAGGTAATAGTTGTCCAAAGACATTCCTTTTTATTTTCTTATACACTTCCCAGTAGGCTCAAATTCAGGGCTGATGTGCTAGGCAAACATTCTACCAATGAACTCTACCTCCAGCCTCAAAGACATTATCACTCTTTAAGAGTTGTGTAATGTGCACTTGAGAATTCAGCATTTTGGAACTCATCAAACTCAGTCTCCCAATGATTTGTTGTAGGTTATCATCAACTTTCCAGACCCAGCGCAAAAAAGTGACATCGTCCAACTCAGAGGGCCCAAGAATGAAGTGGAAAAATGCACCAAGTACATGCAGAAGATGGTGGCAGATCTGGTAAGGGACTTTCTGTACCCTTTGTTGTATAACAGTGCTGGGGATGACAGGGCTGGGGTTTGGTCGCATTAGAACTCCTGATTCTGCCTCTTGGAGCCATGTATTGGGAATCATCTGTTATCGCAGGTATGGAAACGTGGTAGTGGCCTCTTTCTTGATACTTGGATGCCCAGACTGGTCATAATTGCTAATCTTTTTGTGTTACACAATTCAGGTGGGAGATTTCTATTTTCTCATACCCTGTTATCTTGTTTCCTTGAAGGGTCTTCATATTCCTAAATATAGGAAGTGTCCTGTACAGTAAGGAGAGAGAGATTGCACAAGTGAAATGAGTAGTCATTTGTTAATTTATTGTTTTTCTCAAAATCTGAAGTGGGAAAAGGTTTAAAAAGTGTGAAAGAGGGCTTACTGGAAAGGTCATGGATCACCATTATCCATGCTCACTTGAAGGAGCTGCAGTGTGTCAGGGCCTGCCCTAAAGAAGTGACAGTGTAGGCCTTTAGCACTATGTATGTACACAGCCATCTACTGGATTTCTCTATTGGTCAGCCTTCCCAAAATACCAGATATCAGAATTAGAGGAGAAAAGATTTATTTTGGTTCACAGTCCCAGAAGCTTCAGTCCATGGTTGACTGGGTCTAAGACAGGAACATGGTAGAGGCATGTGAAAGTTAGCACAAAGGAAGGGGCCAGGGACCAGATGTAGGCCCAAAGTCATGAGCCACCCTGCCACCAGCAGTGTGCTTTACTAGTGACCTAGGCGGCTTGGGGCTCAGGTTGACAGTCACAATTAGCCATCACCGTTCCCAAGTGCTGCCTTAATGTGGGCTCTGAGCTCTTCCTCATCCAGGGCACTGAGACAGTACCTGGCAGATAAGATTGCTGCTGATTGGAGAGCATGTAGCTAACACAATGCAGGTTCTACTGTGTACTGCTTTTCCTGAAAGAGGGATTTTAGAGCATATGACAGTAACAGCTAAGTTGGTTTGTTGCTGAACAGCTTGTCTCACCTGTCCTCGTGACGGATGTCTGCCTGTGAGGAGGAGAGGAGGCTCCAGGTCCCTGTTCATACATAACTTACTTCGTGGAGTTCTCGTATAGGAGGAGGGCCTGCTCTCTGGTATGGGTACTTCATTATGCTGCCTCTTTGTTCTTAAGGTGGAAAACAGCTACTCTATTTCTGTTCCAATCTTCAAACAATTTCACAAGAACATCATTGGAAAAGGAGGTGCAAACATTAAGAAGGTGACTGGTTGTCCCCTGGGCCTTGGCTCCTCATGTCCCTTCCCTTAGCCCTGCACCACCCCATTGTACACAGGAAAGAGGCACTGGGCCTTCCAGTCCCATGCTTGAGGCATCCCTTCTGGGAGTAGTCTGTTCAGCTCCCCATGTTTCATTCACTTCTTCTAGATCCGTGAAGAAAGCAACACCAAGATCGACCTTCCAGCAGAGAACAGCAACTCAGAGACCATCGTCATCACAGGCAAACGTGCCAACTGTGAGGCTGCACGGAGTCGGATTCTGTCCATCCAGAAAGACCTGGTAATGAGGCTGTTCTGTGACATACATAGCCTTTCCTGCTTCTTTTTTTTTGTGTGTGTGTGTGTGTTTTTCCTTTTTATTGGTACCGGGGATTGAACTCACGACTGCCTGCTTGCAAGGCAGGTGCTTATGGCGCTGAGCTAAATCCCCAGGCCCCTTTCCTGCTTCTTGTGTGATATACTCTTGGCAGAGTCTACAGGGCAAGCATGCAGGGCCCCAGGGCCCAAGTGGCTCATGAAAAGACTGTGGCTTGAATAGACAGACAGCGCCAACAGATTGGCTGGCAGCGCTTGGGTATTTGTCTCATAGAGGTCCCATGCTTGATCCCACAGCCATGGTGTCAGGCCAGGTTACTTGTTCTGTTAGATATTTTCTTTTGTTCATTTTTATATTTGAAAATCACGTCTGAAAGTGCTTACTGTTTTTTTTCTTCAGTTTTTAAAAAATTAGCCTAAAATAAGCTACACAGGTATACAGTTTGCCATTTGCTAATCCTGATGTGTCTCCCTGAGGAATCATCCCAGTGAATATATCCACCACTCCAAGAAAACCCTCACCCTTTGGTGTCACAGCCACTTATCCTCCCCTGCCCACAGTCCCCGTATGTGTGGGTGCAGCACACAAGTTAAGTTGGCTGCACTCCGTGAGTGGATCCTAGATGCTTTGTGCTGTCATTGGTGGAATGGGCTGAGCTCTGCTCATGATGTATGCATGTGTGGTGCTTTGCAATCTTTGTGGTAGGATGGCATTTCCCTGTGGGTAATCATCTGCCCTTCTGCTTGGGTTTGGTGTCTATAAGAGGTTTCTTCTGATCCTATGGGACAAGTCGGTGAGCTTTAAGTTGATAGTATTCCCATGTGACCCTCACTATCCAGCTGCTTTCACCTTCCTCCATTCAGGGGGTATGTGGTCTGTGTCGCGCTGTGAAGGAACTTTGTATCTCAGAATATTCTTTGCTTTGAAATCTCTTCCTGACGTTAAAGTGCGTTTCTTAGCATTTTGCTTATTTAAATTGATTTCTGATTTTTAAAACATGCCCTTTACATTTGTGATTATGCATTTGATATATCACACTTATTTACCCTTATTAAGTACATTTAACAAATTTGGTTAAATTGTATTTTTTTTTTTAATTTGGTGAACTGTAAATACGATAGAATTTACCATTTTAAGCATCTTTAAGTATAATTTAGTGGCATTAGACCCATTTGCAGTTATGCAGCTGTCATTCTGTCTATTTGACCCATTTGCATTTATGCAGCTGTCATTCTGTCCATTTCCAGAACTTTTCATCATCTTAAACAGAAATTCTGAGCCCATCAGACACTCACTTCCTCCCCATTCCAGCACTTGGTCCCTTGATGGGGCTATTTTGTGTAGGTGAGTGTCAGTTTGCTCTCATACTTGGTTTTCCATTGTCACCTCTGGATTAAGCATCTTTTTTACCTGTGTCTCCTTCACCTGTGCATCAAATGTAGCTCCGTCCTACATAGCACATGCCGCTTCATCCCTGCACCTACCTTGGCACTCCAGGTGTTGCCTTCCTCATGTGTTACAGTCTTTGTGGAACATTGTTACTTTTGGCTTAATGTTCAAGTCTTTGAAGAGATTGAAATAACAAACTATCTTACATGTTTCCTGGTAGTAACCATCCCTGGAGACCTTAACACCTTGTTTTGGCCTGTATTTCAGCCTTTTTCTATGGAAGATGCTTTGTTTTTCAGGGTGTGATAGCTACTGTACTCAGTTTTTTCTTTCTTTTTTTTTTGAGACAGTTTCACCATGCAATTTATGGTGGCCTTAAACTCAGAGCAATCCTCCTGCCTTGGTTGTCATTCGTTTCTGACAGGTGTTCTGCTGTGTGGGTTTCTAGGCTGGCTTTCTGCCCTGTCCCTCTGAATGCCATTCAGGTTCTGCTCACTGACCTCATTTTCATGAGAAATTTGATGCTGCCACAGCTCTGGTTTTTGCACATGCCACGTCTTATCTCCAGCTTTGGGCAGTTGTAACATCCCTGTCATTTTCTTTGTGAGTGCTTGATGTTCTTGTAGTCACTTGGATGTGTCAATTTAGAGTTTTTATCAGATTTGAGGTTTGGATCAGTCATTGTTTGCAGATTTGTGAACTGCTTGGTCTCCTCATTCAGGGACTGAATTACCTGCATATTACTCATCCTGCCCTATGGATCCCTTAATTCTCTGCAGTGTCTGAGTGGCTGACATACATGTGGTCATTGTAGACAATGTATCATCTATGATTCCTGTGCCATATGTGGTCAGTCTTTAATTTTCTTTCTTTGTTTCTTTCTTTGGAGACATGATCTTGCTGTGTTGTCAAAGCTGGAGTCAAACTTGTGACAATCCTCCTGCCCAGCCTCTGGAGTTGTGGGATTACAGACGTGAGCCACTTTGTCTGACTCTTCTCTGGCTTTTGAACATACACATATAATTAAATACCTGTCCTCTACTTATGGTCTGCTGACCCTAGTACCTGTGTCACTTCTGGATTGTTTCTGTTTGCTTTTCTGTATTCCAGGTTGTTTTTGCCTGTTTCTTTTTTTCTTTCTTTTTTTTTTTTTTGTACTGCGAATCAAATTTACCACCTTGTGCTTGCCAGCCAAGTGCTAATTCCACTGAGCTAAATCCCTAGCCCTTTGCCTGTTTCTTTGTAAGACTTTTTATTTCTGTTGCTTCTTCTTAATTCCTCTAAGTGTTTTTAAATGAGCTTAATTGCACTGGAGTAGTGCAAGTTTTAGGACTTAAACATTTGTTAGGTGCAGTGGGTACCAGGTTGAGTGAGACTGGCCAGGAATGCGAGCCAGACATCCCAGCTGCCTGCCAAGGCTGAACCACCCCAGGCCTTGCAGGTCCACAAGTTGAGTGTCTGGGTTGGAGTCCGCCTTGTGAGGCAGGTTTGGAGTGCTGTCCTCAGCTCAGGTTCCCTCTCTGTGCTGCTCCCATTTGGGTCCTGGGCTCTTGCCTGTGCCCCTCCTCTCCTGGCTGCAGTAGCAGTTGGGACAGTCACACAGCTCCCCTTGTCTCTGCTTGTCACCTGTCTCGGAAGGTACCCATTCAAGTAAGAGGTGACTTCAGTCTGTGCTACTTCATCTTGACTGGAAACAATGACCAGATTTTTTGCCCCGCAGCTATGTTGGACTCTCTTGTGCTGCTTACTGAGGGTTCAAAGTCACAGCTTTCTTCATGCACTGTGTCCCCTGCTGCTGACCCTAATGCTAGCCTTCCCTTGCTGCACCCCAGTGACCTCCTGCTGCTATGTGTTTGGTTTCAGGCCAACATAGCCGAGGTGGAAGTCTCGATCCCAGCCAAGCTACACAACTCCCTCATTGGCACAAAGGGCCGTCTGATCCGCTCCATCATGGAAGAGTGTGGCGGAGTCCACATTCACTTTCCTGTAGAAGGCTCTGGAAGTGACACTGTTGTTATCAGAGGCCCTTCCTCAGATGTGGAGAAGGCCAAGAAGCAGCTCCTGCACCTGGCTGAGGAGAAGGTGAGCCTCAATCCCTGTTCCTCTGGGTGTGATTGAAAACCCTAAGTGCCCTTCTTCCCATCAAGGCCAGGAGCAACTGTAAGGTACAGTTATGCCTCTGGGACTGCTGCTCTGAAGGAGCTTTTTTAAGTCCAAGTGTCCATGTAGACAGTATGGAAAAGGTACCTGTTGGCATATTTAAGGATTTTTGGAGGGGAGGATTTTTTTTTTTTTTTTTTTTTGTCTGAGACATAGTCTCTTAATGCAGTTCAGGCTGTCCTGTGCTCACTTTGTAATCTTGGCTGGTCTCATTCACAACTATCCCTCTGACTCAGCCTCCTGAGTGCTGGGGTTACAGGTGTGTGCCACCACAGCTGCCTAAAGGAGGATTATTTTAAAGTATGATTTATAATAAAGCTCAGGATTCTTTTTTTATAGTTCTGAGTTTTGACAGTCATGTGACTACCAGTACCATCAAAATGCAGCGATATCACCCCCAGGATCCTCTGGTACATCACCTTTAGTCCTTCATCCAAAACCACATGTAGGTCTGGCTTTGGACTTTTTTTGCTTCGGCAGCATGCTGGGCTTGGGGTAATTGGCCTTGTGGGACATCTGTGTGTCAGATGGTAAAGTTCTCCGGCTCAGTTCCTTTTAAAAAGTTGCCATTGCTGTCCCAGTCCTTTCCCTTTCTTTGTGCATTTAGGAATCAGCCTGTAGGTTTCTAGATAACTCTGGCACTTGGATCTTGGTTGGGATGAGTGAAATCTGAAAGGGGACTGGTGGAGGCAGATAGCTCGGCAGTCTCCAGTCTTCAGGCCACTTCCCTGCAGTTTTCCAGGCCTTTAAGCTTTTGCTTGTGCTTCATGGTTCTTAGCATATAGATGTAACAGATAGGGCAGTCAGTTTATATCTCTGGGGTTTTTTTGTTGTTGTTGTTTTCTTTTGTTTTTGTCTTTTTGAGGCAGGGTCTCACTATGCAGTTCAGGCTGGCCTTGAGCTCACTTTGTAGCCCAGGTTGGTCTCGAGCTTGCAAGGATACTCCTGCTTCAGCTTCCCAAGTGCTGGAATTATAAGCGTGCACAACCACGCCCAGTTATATCCCTGTTGTTGATGATACTGTATATAGGGCTTTTTGCCTAATTTCAGAGGTTAGCCTGTGGAAATGCATCTGAATTTGTACACAGACTTCATTTAGAAGTTTATCCTTGGGGCTGGGGCTCAGTGGCATAAGCGCCTGCAGTTCGATCCCTGGTACCGATAAAAATGAAAAACACACACACACAAAAAAAGAAGTTGTTCATCCTTACACCTCTCTAGATTCCCCTTCTGCATGTGGAGATGGTGTGTCTGGGGCTGGCCTTTCCTGCTGTCTGTCCAGAAACTCCCTTCTGTACCAAGCTTGACAGAGCTTTGCAGGGAGTGGGTATTGGATTTTCTCAGGTATTTTTTGGTATCTTCTCATACAGTTGTGGCATCATCATCATTTTGATGTCTTCTTGATGGGTAGTTAACTGAGCATGCATTTCTGAGGTAAATCATCTTGATTTTGGTGTTATCTTTTACTTAGCATATTTCTGAGCTGAATTTGCCTGATATTTTTGCCTTAGATGATATTATTTATGACCATTCAAAGAATACAGTGGTACCTTGGTTCAAGAGCTTGCCAGAATTCAGAATTCTTTCCACAATTCTGGTCACAAACCAGATTGGATGAGAACCAAATCTAATTTCCCCATAAGCTCAACATCGAACCTAACTTAGACATTGAATTTGAGTTGGTTTGTGACCAGAACTGTGTTAAGAATTGAGCTCTAAAACCAAGGTATCACTGTAGTAGATTCTCGTGATGTTTGGTGAACCCAGCACTTAAAGGATAATAAACTACCCAGGCATGGTTGTGTATGCCTAGAATCCCAGCCCTCTAGGAGTTTGAAGCAGGTGGATGGCAAGTTCAAGCTCAATCTGGGCATTTAGCAACTAAGTCCATGTCTAAAAATAAAAAAGGGCTGGGGGTGGGGCATGATGGTACACGCCTGCTATCCCAGCACTCTCAGGAGGCAGAGGAGGAGCTTGCTGCAAGACAATGTAAAGAAAGAGACCCAGTCTCAAAAAAATAAAAGGGTTGTGGATGTAGCTCAGGGCCGAGCTCTGTAGTCCATCCCCAGTACCATAGAAAAAAGAGAAAAAGCTCTGTCATTTAACATTATGCGTTCTAGCTGATCACGTCTTTCTCTGTATCCTTCCTCTTTATTCTGTGAGCCAGTGTCAGGCCTTCAGGAAGGCAAGAGGTGGCCCTGTGGTCCGAGTCACCATTTTCCCAGATGAGTCTGCCAGAGGGATTGGTTTCTGTCAGAAACTCACAAAGTCTGGCTCTTGCTGGGCCTGGCCCCTTGGTGTCACACATAGGTCTTGTGCCACCACAGCCTGAGAGCCCGATGCACACTGGCCTGGGCTTATGGCTGTCCAATCTGTGCTGCTGTCTCCTGTGGGGCAGTTTGTCATGCTGAGAGGGAGGAAGCTGGCCTGGAGCATACTGACTGTGGGATATGGCTTCTCCTGGGGTATGCTCTGCCCACACCTCACACCATGTGTGACTGCACCCCACCAGATTGGGGCAGTCAGGAGAGGCTCAGTTGCTGCTGCTGAGCAACAGTACTGGGGTTCCCTGAAGGGCTGCATGTACAGCCTGTTAGGTATTCATTGATTCAAAGAGGGCCTTAGAATTGTTGTAGTGTCAAGCCTCTGGGGACCGTGGGGAGCCTGCCCCATACTGCTATTGTCTAGTGTGCTCATTCTCCGCATTGTGGTTCAGGCAGGTGGGGTAGGGCTGATACACACAAGGTTGTTTCTACAGCAAACCAAGAGTTTCACTGTGGACATCCGAGCCAAGCCAGAGTACCACAAATTCCTTATCGGCAAAGGGGGTGGCAAAATCCGAAAGGTGCGGGACAGCACCGGAGCCCGCATCATATTCCCCGCCGCAGAGGACAAGGACCAGGACCTGATCACCATCATAGGAAAAGAGGATGCTGTTCGGGAGGCGCAGAGAGAGTTGGAGGCCTTGATCCAGAATCTGGTAGGGAACAGGATCTCAGCTGTGGGCTTCTTCGACACCCTTGGCATGGCACCTTACCCTCCATTCTTCTCCAAATGCCCCAGGATAATGTGGTTGAAGACTACATGCTGGTGGACCCCAAGCACCATCGCCATTTTGTCATCAGAAGAGGCCAGGTGCTGCGGGAGATTGCTGAGGAGTATGGTGGGGTAATGGTCAGCTTCCCACGCTCTGGCACACAGAGTGACAAGGTCACACTCAAGGGTGCTAAGGACTGTGTGGAGGCAGCCAAGAAGCGCATCCAGGAGATCATTGAGGACCTGGTGAGTTGGGGGGCGCAGGGTCAGCCCTCATCGCTGGTGACCACTGTGTAGAGCACAGGCTGGTGCTCCTTCCCTGCCTCACCCCCCTTATAGGACCTGATAGTGGTGTGGGGGCACTCTCATCAAACCCCAGATTGACAACAGAAGGTCCCTTTTTCTAGGTGCAGTGGCAAATGGCCTGAAATTCCAGTTATTCTGGAAGCTGAGATAGTAGAATTGCAAGTTCAAGGCCAGGCTGGGCAACTTAGCAAGACCCTCCCTCAAAGTAACAAACAGAAGGGACTAGGGATGTAAGCTCAGTGGTAAAACACTCCTTGGATTCCATCCTCCTTGATACTAGTAACACACACACACACACACACACACACACACACACACACACACGTCCCTCCCAGCTGGTCATGGGTCATTTTTGCCTGTGGGGCCCATCTAGAACACCTACCAAGGAGAGGTAAGGAGAATGCTGTGCAAACCTGAGAAATTAACTTTTCTTCCTCCTCTCTCCATGTCCACAGGAGGCTCAAGTGACAATGGAGTGTGCTATTCCTCAGAAGTTCCATCGGTCTGTCATGGGCCCCAAAGGTTCCAGAATCCAGCAGATCACTCGGGATTACAATGTTCAGATCAAGTTTCCGGACAGAGAGGAGACTCCTGGTGAGTCCTGCTAGCAAGTCTGCCATCCACATCCCTGTGTCCCTCCTGCCCCACTCAGCCTGACACTGGAGTGGTACACAAACATTACCATGGGTTCCAGGAACTTGGGGCCTTCTGTGGTCTCTGATGATGAGCCATGGGAGGGTTCCCGGGACTACAAGCCAGAAGCCTTTGTTTAGTCCCTATGCTGCTCCAGATGTCATGTGACTTTGGATGTGCGAATACAGGTGGCATGTCCCCACAAGGGTACAAGAGAGAGCAGCTGCTCTCCTAGGCCTTTTAGTGCCAGGGGACCCATTTGTTGCTTGCTTTTGCTGTGGGCTCAGTGACAGGCAGGCTAGGCAGATGCAAGGGGAGCAGGTGTGGCGGGAGGATGTCTGTGTGAGCTGCCTCTTGCCAGCTGTACACTTCTGATTGGTGTGCATTTCTCCTGGGCTCAACTTTGCTGGCCTGTGACCCCGCTGCCTCTGCTCTCTGCTCGTTTGACAACCACAGGGCTCATCAGGCATGGCAGTTGCACTCCCTCCGTCTTCCTGGAAAGACAGGAGCTTTGTGCAGGAACCTATTTAAATCATGTTGCCCCATTCACACTCATTCACACTTAGGAGAAAAACTACACAGAATAGTGGAAGATAGACCTAGTTTCCTCTTTTAGTCATTGGTTGGTTTCAGACCCTCCCCTTTTACATACATACTTGCTTTTTATTCTGAATCATTTGAGTCTCAGTGATGTTTGGATCTGGGTTTTTTTGTTTGTTGTAGTTCAGACTGGTCATGAACTCACTGTGTAACCCAGGCTGACCTTGAACTCTCACCTGTCCTCCTATGTCAGCTTTCCAAGTGCCAGGATTATAGGCATGCACCACCAAGCCTGGTCTGAGTGGAATATTTAAGACACCTTTACCCTTATTTCCTACAAAACGAGAATACTGTCTTCCACAACCACAGCACACTGATCAAAGTGAGGCCTATTGTCTAGCTAGTAGGCACTCCTCCTTCCCACCAGTGTATGTAGTAGGTGCTTTGCCAGGCAGCATTTCTTCTGTCTTTTCTCAGTCTCGTTTGTGCTTCTATCATGTGGGCTCCAGATTGTGTCTTAGTCCATGGACAGATGCTGTTTGGTGCACACATGGTCTCCAGAGTGGCCATGGGATCCCTGACTGCCCTCAGGAGCTTTTCCTTACTCCCTGGCACTGGGAGCTGTGGGCTTGTGCTAGCCTCACTCATGGTCCCCTTCACTGCCTGTTGGCTCAGCTGGCTAAGGCCAAGTCAATCTCCTTCCTGGAAGTTAGTCTTCACACCCAGTAAAACTACACACTGCTCCTGTGGCTTGGATGTGCCACCTTTCACCTCTGAGATTTTTGCTGTGGACACCATAGGAGGGTGAGGAGGGAGATGCAGAACTCATGGCTTCTCCGGGACACACTGTGTCCCCTAAGCTGGGGAACCCCACATGGGCTCTCTGCTTTCCCTACCCAGCCTGACCTCCTGGGGGACAAATGAGTCACTCCTCCATCCCACCAGTGTATGTAGCAGGTGCTTAACAAGGCATTCTGGATGCAGACTGATGGGTGCTGCTGAGCCAGGCCTTGAGGGCTGCTGTCAGGTACCCTCTCTCTCTCTCTCCTAGCTCATGGCATGGAACCTGCCATCCAGGAGAATGGAGACGAAGCTAGTGAGGGCAGAGAGGCTGACCCTGGTTCACCCAGGAGGTGCGACATCATCACCATCTCCGGCCGGAAAGAGAAGTGTGAGGCTGCCAAGGAAGCTTTGGAGGTATGTCTGCCCTTCCTGTGTCCTCCCTACATCCCAGTGTCACCTGGGTGCTGGCACACAGTGGATCTTGTCATTGCATCCTCAAGTACAAGCATCCAGCTGTGTTGACTGCCTCGATGTATATAGAGTCCAGGGAGGGCTCTTCCTTTCCCCGGGCAACAACAATATGGGATCCAGTCTCTGAGACCCATGGACATGTGGTAAAGCTGACCTCTTCCTCTCCAGAGTTTGGGGGTAACAGTCTAGGGTTGTTGTAATGGTGAGCCACTTGTACAGCAAGCATTTACTGGGCATCACCTAGGTCAGTGATGGGAAATCTTTCAGAGACTGAGTGCCCAAACCTGCTTATTTATTGCAAAGTGACAACACTGTATTAAAGTTGAATACTGAGGTTTTAGTTTAGGAAAAAAAACTGTTATCTGATACTCAGCTATGGGGCAACTTGGCATGAGCGCCGCAGGTTCATCGCCACCTGCCTGGGTGCTGGACCCTGTAAGTGCTCCCCCGGCACTACAATGAGCACTGCAGTGCCGGAGAGAAGTTGGAGAGGCACACTTTGCATGGAGGAGCAGATGGCAAGGGTTAGGTGTATAGTTAGAGGCCCCGTGGGGGCAGGTCTCTCCCTGCACTGTAGCCTGCTGCCATGCAGGAGGGCAGATGCCCATACTCCCCTGGGTGGGTTGCTGATCCTGTGCTTTTCCTCTTGAGTTATATGTCAGTGGGCCTGGCAATGAGGCACACTGATGGGGGTTACAGAAAGTTCAGTGGTACCAGCAGGGCTCTTCCCATCATTTCATGAGTTACTTTGTCTTCATCTTCCCTTCAGGCACTCGTTCCAGTCACCATTGAAGTGGAGGTGCCCTTTGATCTTCACCGTTACATCATTGGGCAAAAAGGAAGTGGGATCCGAAAGATGATGGATGAGTTTGAGGTGAGCTCCTCTCCCTGGAGACTTCCCTACAAAGGGAGCTGTGCCTCCTACTGGGTGGGCTAGAACCAGACAGACTCAGTGTCGTGGTAGACTCTAAACCAGGCCTGGCTTTCTCTGTTATGCAGGTAAATATACACGTCCCAGCTCCTGAGCTGCAGTCTGACGTCATTGCCATCACAGGACTTGCTGCAAATCTGGACAGGGCCAAGGCAGGGCTGCTAGAGCGTGTGAAGGAGCTGCAGGCTGAGCAGGAAGACCGGGTGAGTGGGGATGGTGCTGCCTACCTGGGCAGGTGTGGGGGCACCCTGGGCACTCTGCCAACTTGAGCCCAAGGACTTGCTGGGGGAAGGAAAGGCACTCAGGACACAGATACTCTTCTCATTAAGGTAAGAGACAGAGTTGGGAAATTGTTGTAGTTTATAGTTCAGCCACGTCAGCAGAAACATCTTGGTGGTTTGGGCCCTGCAGCAAAGTAGGGATGGGGACCAGGCTGCAGAATGACTTTACCTTGACCCTGGCAGAGCCCTCTAGGAGATAGATGCAGATGTGCTGGAGTCCTGGGCACTTCCTAGTACAGGAGCTTTCTGTATCTCCAGCCAGCTCACCCTCCAAGCCCTGCTGCCCAGTGTGAACAGGCCCTGTGTGGGCCTCGGGGCCTCAGATACCTCTAGTACTGTGTGGCTTGTCGGTGCCCTGCCCCAGCAGACCCAGATTTAGTCCTCTAGTAGATTTCCTCAGTTCCCTAGCTCACATGTGGGGAAATGGGGCCAAGCACTTGAGCAGCTCACTACCTATCCTTGCCAGCCTTGAGTCCAGAGCCCCCTCCCTGAGTGAGCAGCAGTGGGCCAAGCGTCCTTAGCTGAAGAAAGTGCTCAGTGTGGAGCAGGCAAGACCTCTCATTCCCACACTCAGTGGGAGATCGAAGGTCATTGGGCACCTGACCTTGCTGCAGATGAGGTACTCTCTCAGGTCAGGCCTCATACTTGCTTATTCACTTGTAGGCTCTACGGAGTTTCAAGCTGAATGTCACTGTAGACCCCAGGTACCATCCCAAGATCATTGGGAGGAAAGGGGCGGTGATCACCCAAATCCGCTTGGAACATGATGTGAACATCCAGTTTCCCGATAAGGATGATGGGAGCCAGGTAAGGAGGCCCACCCACCTGAGGTGCTGCGCCTTGAGCACCTTGGGAGCACATGGGCACTGAACATTGCCTCTTCCACAAAGTCACTGGCATACTTGTGTTCCAGCTGAAAGCAGGCCCAGTTGAGTGTGAGTGGTCAGTCTCTGGATCTGAGTGTGGCTTCAGGTTTGGGCTGTCTTTGCTCTTGTCAGCTGGGTGGGGGTTCTGGGGTACTGTGTGTCCTCTGGTGGCTTGGGACACTTTCCTCGATGCCCACTTGGTCACTCCGTGGTGGGTGGCAGGTTTCTGGCTGAGTTGTTCTTGAGCCTTCATGCTTGCAGGTTCAGACTAACTATTCCCCAGCTGTTGGAGCCCTCAACCAGGCTCCAAGGAGTTTCAGGAGGCAGACGACATGAGACAGAGGGTCTGGTTCCTTGCAAGTCCCTGCTGCCCTGTGTCTGTCTCTCTGGCTTGTTCTCATGCACATGGGTCTGTGGGGCAGCCCTGACTTCAGGGGCCTCTTCCCTCCTGGGATGTGGCCAGTTCTGCCTCATTTTTCAGGGGAGACCAGCAGGACCTGGCCCACTTCCCACTCCTGAAGTGTCTCTACAGGTCCACACCCACCTTTCCTCCACCTTTGCAGCCAGTTGCATACGTCATCATTGCAGGACACCAGCAGGCTGGGGTCCCCTCAGGCTCTGCTTCTGCTCCTAGGGCTCCTCCCCCTGCACCGGTCTTCACCTCTGCATTTCTAGTGGCTGTGTTTATACCAGTAGTTTTCTAACTAATCTTCGCTTACCTCAGTCTTGGAAATTTGGTTCTCTTAAACTTGTTCCCCTCGCTGCCCTCCCTTTCCCTCCTCTCATTTTGTTTTGCCTTTGCACTGAGACGATTTTAGCTGGTCTTCAGGTACACCCCTTTGCAATGAGTTCCCAACCTTGTGGCTCTGGCCTGTGGTGTTGCTGACCTAGCCCTTTATGGGTGGGAGCTTCTCAAACCCCCACCACCTTTGCTGTGGTTCAGCTCTGCTCTGGGTGTTCTGTTCTTTTACCTGGACACACCATTTCCCCATCCAACCTGAGGACTATAGGATCACGGCTTTTTTGTTGCCTGTAGTGTGCATGGACCATCTGCTCGACACTAGGTCAAGCCTCTCCAGTGACAGAGCAGGGAAGCCTCCTGTTGGGCAGAGGAGTAGGAAGCTGAGGGCTGAGGGCTTTGCCTGCTGTCCCCTTGCTGTGGTCTTGGAGTGTCCTTTGTAGTCCTGTATTTCTCAGTCTTGTGGGCAGGGCTGGGAGAGACAGTGTTGGACAGGTGCTGCCTTCCTGTTGAGTGCTCTCAGGCGAAGCCTACAGCCAGACCCTGGTTCAGCACCAGCCCTGCTGGGCAGCTCTTGAGAGCTAGGAATCCCCACAGGGTTCCCTCCGCCTGTGTGCTGTACTCATCACCTTGATTTGGTCTTGTAAAGAGTTTATGTTTTATCAGTACACGTTCTCAGTACATGATTACATGCATCTTGGTACACAGCACATCTCAATTCTTTTTTCACTCCCCTTCCTCTCCCCTCCATTTCTTAGTCACCTTTCCTTTTCTTTTTCCCCTTGGGTAATGGGAATTGAACTCACGACCTTGTGCATACCAGGTAGACACTGCCACTGAGCTATATCCTCCCGCCCCTTTCCCTTTGACAAGGTCAATCGCACTGTTTCCTACTGTTGATTCTTTTTTTTTTTTTTTTTTTGCTCTGTTTGTACTCTGAGTTTCTCACATAGTACCTAAGTTATGTATCTCATTGCCCTCTCCACTTTTAGCCCCAGGACCAAATCACCATCACTGGGTATGAGAAGAACACAGAAGCTGCCCGGGATGCCATTCTGAAGATTGTGGGTGAGCTTGAGCAGATGGTGTCTGAGGATGTTCCCCTGGACCACCGTGTCCATGCCCGAATTATTGGCGCCCGTGGCAAAGCCATCCGCAAAATCATGGATGAGTTCAAGGTAAGCTCCACAAGCTAGCAAGGCTGAGAACTCCAACCCTCCTCAGCCCCCCACTGACACTGTCCTCCTTCCAGGTGGACATTCGCTTCCCCCAGAGCGGAGCCCCAGACCCCAACTGTGTCACTGTGACGGGGCTCCCAGAGAATGTGGAGGAGGCCATTGACCACATCCTCAACCTGGAGGAAGAATATGTGAGTCCCAAGTGGGTAGGGCCTTGGGACCCTAGACCCCAGGTCACACAGAAGCCTGAAGTGACAGGAGGTGGGAGGAGCGAATGGGTAGTGGTTGTCCTCTGTCATTCTCGGGAATGGGCTGGCCCTGTGGACAATAGACAGATCTGCTTCCTCACCCACAGCTGGCTGACGTGGTGGACACTGAGGCTTTGCAGGTCTACATGAAGCCCCCGGCGCATGAGGAAGCCAAGGCCCCGTCCAAGGGCTTTGTGGTACGGGACGCTCCCTGGGCCAGCAGCAGCGAGAAGGTCAGTGCCCTGCCGAAGAGGGGCAACCACTGCCTCTGCCTGTAGCCACAGTGGGCCAATGGGGCCCTTGTGCTGCGGGCAGCAGCAGCTTGAGAAGCTACTTGAGTGTACACAGGGTAACCCCGTACTGAAGTTCCGTCCTCCCTTTCCACAGGCTCCTGACATGAGCAGCTCTGAGGAATTTCCCAGCTTTGGGGCGCAAGTGGCTCCCAAGACCCTTCCCTGGGGTCCCAAACGATAATGATCAAAAAACAAAAGCCTTTCCAGCCTGCTGACATGCACCCACCCACACAGTGGTTTGTCTCCACCTGACCCAGCGGCTGGACCCTCATGAATTGTTGACGCTCTTTCCCTCCCTGAGGTCTTGCAATGATGCCTGGTGGGCCGGCCTTCCATGGCCGCTCCTTCAGGCCTGGTTGGCACCCAGCAGCTCGGCATCCACCTCCGACACTGCACCAGGACAGGTGCGCCACTGTCTGAAACACTAAGCCAAGGTAATTGAGCACCTCATGACCACACAGACTCCAGCTTCCTGTCCACCCAGCATGTGGTCAGCACTCTGACCTCCATTATCAGAGCTCTGCAGCAGCGGCTAGGAGTCGACTTCCTGTGTCATGACCTCAGGAAATAAATTTCCTTGACTTTATAAAAGCCAAAACGTTTGCCCTCTTCCTTTCCCACTCCCTCCTGCCCCTGCCTGTAATCCAGACCTCTTTCAGCTGCCAGGTCTGCACGGTGCTGGGGGGAGGTGGGTTAGGGCCAGCTTGGAAGCGGGATCTATCTGGGGCAGCTGGAGCCTTAGACAGCCCTAGTTGTTGTTGCTTTGGAGTTTCTGCCATGCCCTCAGCCCCTTGGCCTGGTGCACAGAGCCTTAGACAAGGCTGCCTGTGCCATGCTACCTGGGTCCCCTGTGGCTGTCACCGTGACCTAGTGTGGCCTGAGACTCATAGGATGTGGGGGCAGGGCCAGTGAGGACAGCTCAACTTTCTTTTCAGACCACCCTTGGCCCTATGCCTGTCCTTCCCAGACACCTCTGGTCCAATTGCCTTTTTTCTACCTCAGCCGGTGTGATGGCCACACAGGAACCTGTGCCGCCCATTGTGGTTGTTTGCTGGGGCCCACAGGGTTGAGGGGCTGCCGAGCTCAAGGCAGCCATCCTCGGTCCAGAGCACAGTGCTCAGCAGCCTGGAAGGGCAGGTTCCACAGTGGGGGATCAGGCTTTCGCTTAGCCTGGACCGAGGAGTGAAATAGGATAAGGACAAAGGACCAGCACCTCTGACCCCTACCAGCCGAGGGATCTGCCCCTCTTCAAGTGCATGGTGGGCGACAGAGTGCTAGGCTGCCGGCCAGGCTCCTAGTCATCCTCACAAGGAAAGGTCCTGAGCAGGGGCATCTCTGTCACATGTGGGGACTGAGCAGGCCTAATTTCAAGTTGTCTGAGCCCAGGTACTTTGGTTCCTAAAAAGGCCAAACAGTACCCATCTTATAGCCACCTTGTGGGGTGGAGGGAACCTTCACTTCTACTAGGACACTTTCCCCTGAGTCTCTCGGCTTAACAGCTTAACAGCCTTGGCTCCCTTTAGACTACAGAGCTCTTGAGTGGGCCCTGTTCCTGTGGCCTCGAGTCCGCACAGGCACCTACTTACAGGAAAGGTGAACACCTGCCTCCCCACCAAGGGCCATGGCTCCAAGTCAGCTGGGCTGATGGGTGGGGAGAGACAGCCAGGGGCTTCTGGCCTTCCCGGGTCTGTCTCTTAACTCTTGGCACTCCTTCCACTTGCAGGAGTCTGGGGACTTACTCCTGTTAGACTGTTGCCGTACCCCTGACCCCCACCCTGGCCCTTCTACCTTCCTCTGGCACCCCTCCCTCCCTCCTCTCTTCCTGAGTCTTTCTTCTGCAGTGTCTTCCTGAACCTCCAGTCCCTCCCCTCCCCTGTAGGCCAATTTTAATTCTCACACAACTGGATTTGCACATCTCTACCTACTGCTAAGTGCTGTGGATTCAAGCCCTGCCTTGAGCTGTTCAGGGTCTCCTTGCTCCTTCCCGTGGTTGTCAAATCCAATGAAATGACTACCAGGTGTCTGCCTGTGGCCTCCCAGCTGTCGAGGGCCCTGAGCAGGGACTCAGGAGTGTTTCTCTGTCCCTTCTTGTTAAATGTCTTCCATATTCTGTGTTTCCATAGCTACATCCATCCCTTGGCCTTAACTTTGGAATTTGGAGATTATTATGCAAACATGTGTAAAGGCTCACGAATATGGATGACACTGGAATTTTATAAATTGAGAATAAAACCAGAAACCTGATGCGATGTGCTGGGACTTCTATATTTGCATTTTTTTCCCTGTAGCCTTGAGTACCTGTGGTAGGCACGGCCAGTGTGATTTTTCCCAGTGGTTCTCAGCACTGCCACTGCTCCATCCAGAGCTAGTTAGAGGAAATCTAGGTGTGGGGAACAAGCCCAGGGCACTTGCCTATCCCTGCAGCCCACTCTGCCCCACAGCTGTCACTATCCAGGATGGACACTCAGACTTGGAAGGTGGCAGAGTTGTTGTAAAAGTTACCCTCTTTGGCTAGAGATTCTGTCAGCTTCTAGGCCGAGCACAAGTCCTAGGTTGTGAGGAGCAGGGGGCAGGGTACAGAGGCTCTGCAGGAAAGCCCGTGCTGGTGCCTGTGTGGTATGGGGGACCCTGGCACTGGGGCCTGGTCCCCACCTGAGACAGCTGTGCCTGTCCCTGGTGATGTGGCAGTTCTGGTCCTGAGCATCGTCCATGACGTAAAGTAATAGGAAGTCCCTTGTCCCCCAAGGGGATGGCCATGTTAAAGAAACTGAGAGGCCCTGCTACCCCAGAGTGGAAAGCAGTTATGTATAATCATGGAAAAGTGAGACAGGCCATCGAGGATGGGCAGAGTGTCTGGTCCAAAGCTGTCCCACTAGGCACCTGCTGCCTCCTGCCCCTTAGCCCATCCCTGAGGGTGGATTTCAGTCTGATTGCTCAGGAGGAAATTACAGGGGCACAGACAGGTCAGAAGAGGAGAGACCGAGAGGGCAGGGAGTACTGTTGTGGGATGGATACGCAGGCCTCTGGCTTGGCAAGGACACGGACAGGGTCTGCCCAGTCAGGTGGGGACCTGTGTAGTCTGGTCAGGACAGAAGGCCAAGGAGAGTCACGTCCAGATGGAGGGTCCATGAGCCTGTGTGGCCTCCTGGACTAGGTTTGGGGCCCATGATCCAAGGGGTCCTAGCTAGCACTCCGAGTCAGAGGCTGAGGCCCAGGGAGGACAGGCTCATGAGAGTGACCAGCAAACCCAAACTGGCCACTAAACCCAGAATTTCAGATGAGGCTCTTATGCCTTGGGGTAGGCAGATGATGTTAGCTCATGGGGCATGAGTGGGGGCAGCAGGAACAGCCCCTCACAGCCACCAGATGTCTGGCCTCGTGGACCCTGTGAGGTGGCCAGCAGAGGGAGCAGTTGCACGTGCAGGGTGAGCCTATTAGTGTTTAATGGGAGCACCCCAAGGGCACAGAGTGCCTGAGAAACGCCCTGAGGACAGAGGTGCTGGAGGGGAGCAGGTGTTCTAGCCTTAGAACATGGGCAGGCTGAAGAAGCCAGCTGGTTTAGCAAAGGGGTGTGGTATTAGAAATGTGGTATTAAAATTGTGTTGGTTGAGCGGTGGCTTCCTCCCATCTGGAGGAGGGCTCCCCGACCCTGGCTTTCTGTCTCTATCTATTTTCTTTATCTTCCCACTGTTCCCTGCTCCCTCTGGAACTCAGCTCTCGTGGACACGGCAAACTTGCTGTGACCCCAGAGAGGAAGCATGAGGCCACTGCTCCCGGAGTCTTGACTTAAGGACCTGGTGGCTGTGAGCCCAAGGCCCTGGCCTGCCTCATTCTTTCTGTCCACTGAAAAATGGGGTCAGCCCACTGCATACAGCACCATGAGATGGGGGGCCGTGTGATCTGAGGGGGCCACTAGTGAGAGCCTCAGGTTGCACTGTCCACACCACTCTCCCCCAGACTTCCTGCTTCATGGAACGATTCCATCAACCTTTCAGCTTTGGTCACCAGGAAGCTGAGCTGTATGTTTGGTTCAGAAACAGCACTTACTAGCTGACGAGATTCTTTCCCCCTTATCACTGTGCTTCAGAGAACCCCTACATTAGCCACAGACCCTCCTCGTGAAGCCCACCATCCATCCAGGCACTGAGTCACAGCTTCCACCTGCAGGGTACACTCACCTCGGTGTGGACTCCAAATGAGGTGTGGGAGTTGTCCAGTTGTCCCACACACTTGGGAGCCCACATGCCAGCACCCAGATTCCCTTCCTCCCTCCCTGCCCCAAGCCTAGGTGGAGATCCTGTCCCAAATCTGGCCTGACTGCTGGCTTCAGGTGACCCCAAGGGGGTGCCCCCCACAGGGCCCAAGCGAAGCCTGGCTTGGAGGCACACAGCATCTGCATCCATGCTGGGCAAATAGGGTGAAGGAGACTGAACTGGTCCCAGCATGAGCACTGCTCATCTGGAGAAAGCGGCATAGACAGGCAAGGAGTGGAAGCTGACAAACTGCAGACATGCCACTAGTGTGAAGGCATCCTCAGCCTTGTCCTGTATCCAGTGCGTGCTGTGCTCAGGACTCCTCTCAGCCTGGGTGGGACCTGCCGGTGTCCCCACTGCCCCATGTGGGTGAAGACATCACAGGAAGGACCAGAGTGTGGGGTTCCTTCATTCCCAACTTCAGAATGGTCTCTGGGAAACAGTAAAACCACATCTGAACCACAATCATTAAATTGGAGTGCACAGGAGAGCAGCTGAGTTGGGTCAGGGTGGGACAGAGTCTCCCGGGGGCTGCAGTGCAGGAAGCAAGTGCCCAGCCGATGAGGGGCCTGGAAGGTTTGCAGGGGCGTGAGGCCCCCTAGGTCAGGAGCTCCTCCTGTGGCTTCCCTGGCTCTGCCCATGGCTCCCACCTGCCACCCCTTCCAGGTATGGCTGCCCACCTGGCTGTCCACGGCCATGTGCCTCTCCTGGACCTCAGCTGGTGGCAGGTTTGTGGGGTGCATGGATAGGTGCTCAGCATTTGTCCTCAAGGAGCAAGAGAGAAAGGTGGGGCAGCCAGAGATCGGACACAGGTGAAGACAGAAATGATGCAGGCAGACAGCAGCAGGAAAAGGAACTTGCTCCCTGAGGCTGCCAGTTCCTTGACACAGCCCCTTGCAGGCTAAAGCCATCCCAAAGGGAGCCCCACTGGGGCCTGCACAGTCTCAAAGGGCCTGGGGTGAGGACTTCTCTGCGGAGGGCAAGGGAAGTCGGGCTCGATGGCTGGGGCCCTCACTGTGTCAGGGGACCCTGTGGAGGCCTGCACACCTTCTCTGGGAACAAGAAAGCACCTACTCACCCCATCTTGTCAGGATCCAAGCCAGCACCATGAAGATGGAGAGGATGAGGATGGAGATAGGATTCACCAGAGAGCCTGGCACTTGGGGAGCCTAGTAGTGACAGGTGGTCAGATGGGGTGAGTTGGGGACAGGAATCCCAGGATGGCTGTGACCATGGTGTTGCTGGCCATGTGGGTGGCCATGATGGCCTGTGCAGGGTGATGGACACGAGTGGGCCAGTAAGCTCTGTGAAACCTGGCCTGGCCTAGGGAGCACTCCCTTGAGGC